TCCTCAAATGACTTCTGAATCTTTTTGATAAGTATTTAGATGAATGGAGCACATTTTTCTGATCATTTTTGCTCTTGGATGCTTCTCGATAGCTCCATCCGTTCTCGAGATATCACCGACAACGCAGCGTCCAACGGCGCCCGTCGCCATTATATATACGCCCCATGGGTGATTGAGCCGCGTGGCCAGGGTGGTGTAGGCGGTTAAGCTTGTGCTTAGCAATCCGAAGACCGCAGGTTTCGAGCCCCGCCGAGTGCAAAGAAATTTGCCTCGGTTAGACACTGATCGTGACGACTTTCAGACCTGACTGAAGGACGTGGCGACTCCGGAAGTGTGTAAACGGTTCAAAACCCAAGAGGATGGCGGACGAGAGAAAGAAGGATTAATGTCGGAAGGTTGAAGAAAGAATTCTAGAGTGAGTTTGAGAGAAAGAAAGCTCGATCCTGTGGTCTTCACACCGTAATACCTGAGTCACCCCTTTTTTTGCAAGTATTGCATGTATGTTCAATGATAATAGGCAGCTCCTTGTGACGACATACAATCTTCGTGTTTTTGTCATTTATTTGATATACATCAAGTCATATTTTGGATAATTTTTATCGGTGTCATCTGAATCCTCAAATGACTTCTGAATCTTTTTTTGATATGTATTTAGATGAATGGAGCACATTTGTCTGATCATTTTTTTGCTCTTGGATGCTTCTCGATAGCTCCATCCGTTCTCGAGATATCACCGACACCACAGCGTCCAACGGCGCCCGTCGCCATTATATATACGCCCCATGGGTGATTGAGCCGCGTGGCCAGGGTGGTGTAGGCGGTTAAGCTTGTGCTTAGCAATCCGAAGACCGCAGGTTCGAGCCCCGCCGAGTGCAAAGAAATTTGCCTCGGTTAGACACTGATCGTGACGTCTTTCAGACCTGACTGAAGGACGTGGCGACTCCGGAAGTGTGTAAACGGTTCAAACCCAAGAGGATGGCGGACGAGAGAAAGAAGGATTAATGTCGGAAGGTTGAAGAAAGAATTCTAGAGTGAGTTTGAGAGAAAGAAAGCTCGATCCTGTGGTCTTCACACCGTAATACCTGAGTCACCCCTTTTTTTGCAAGTATTGCATGTATGTTCAATGATAATAGGCAGCTCCTTGTGACGACATACAATCTTCGTGTTTTTTTGTCATTTATTTGATATACATCAAGTCATATTTTTGGATAATTTTTTTATCGGTGTCATCTGAATCCTCAAATGACTTCTGAATCTTTTTGATATGTATTTAGATGAATGGAGCACATTTGTCTGATCATTTTTTTGCTCTTGGATGCTTCTCGATAGCTCCATCCGTTCTCGAGATATCACCGACACCACAGCGTCCAACGGCGCCCGTCGCCATTATATATACGCCCCATGGGTGATTGAGCCGCGTGGCCAGGGTGGTGTAGGCGGTTAAGCTTGTGCTTAGCAATCCGAAGACCGCAGGTTCGAGCCCCGCCGAGTGCAAAGAAAGTTTGCCTCGGTTAGACACTGATCGTGACGTCTTTCAGACCTGACTGAAGGACGTGGCGACTCCGGAAGTGTGTAAACGGTTCAAACCCCAAGAGGATGGCGGACGAGAGAAAGAAGGATTAATGTCGGAAGGTTGAAGAAAGAATTCTAGAGTGAGTTTGAGAGAAAGAAAGCTCGATCCTGTGGTCTTCACACCGTAATACCTGAGTCACCCCTTTTTTTGCAAGTATTGCATGTATGTTCAATGATAATAGGCAGCTCCTTGTGACGACATACAATCTTCGTGTTTTTTTGTCATTTATTTGATATACATCAAGTCATATTTTTGGATAATTTTTTTATCGGTGTCATCTGAATCCTCAAATGACTTCTGAATCTTTTTGATAAGTATTTAGATGAATGGAGCACATTTTTTTCTGATCATTTTTTTGCTCTTGGATGCTTCTCGATAGCTCCATCCGTTCTCGAGATATCACCGACAACGCAGCGTCCAACGGCGCCCGTCGCCATTATATATACGCCCCATGGGTGATTGAGCCGCGTGGCCAGGGTGGTGTAGGCGGTTAAGCTTGTGCTTAGCAATCCGAAGACCGCAGGTTCGAGCCCCGCCGAGTGCAAAGAAATTTGCCTCGGTTAGACACTGATCGTGACGACTTTCAGACCTGACTGAAGGACGTGGCGACTCCGGAAGTGTGTAAACGGTTCAAACCCAAGAGGATGGCGGAAGAGAGAAAGAAGGATTAATGTCGGAAGGTTGAAGAAAGAATTCTAGAGTGAGTTTGAGAGAAAGAAAGCTCGATCCTGTGGTCTTCACACCGTAATACCTGAGTCACCCCTTTTTGCAAGTATTGCATGTATGTTCAATGATAATAGGCAGCTCCTTGTGACGACATACAATCTTCGTGTTTTTGTCATTTATTTGATATACATCAAGTCATATTTTTGGATAATTTTTTTATCGGTGTCATCTGAATCCTCAAAATGACTTCTGAATCTTTTTGATAAGTATTTAGATGAATGGAGCACATTTTTTTCTGATCATTTTTTTGCTCTTGGATGCTTCTCGATAGCTCCATCCGTTCTCGAGATATCACCGACAACGCAGCGTCCAACGGCGCCCGTCGCCATTATATATACGCCCCATGGGTGATTGAGCCGCGTGGCCAGGGTGGTGTAGGCGGTTAAGCTTGTGCTTATCAATCCGAAGACCGCAGGTTCGAGCCCCGCCGAGTGCAAAGAAATTTGCCTCGGTTAGACACTGATCGTGACGACTTTCAGACCTGACTGAAGGACGTGGCGACTCCGGAAGTGTGTAAACGGTTCAAAACCCAAGAGGATGGCGGACGAGAGAAAGAAGGATTAATGTCGGAAGGTTGAAGAAAAGAATTCTAGAGTGAGTTTGAGAGAAAGAAAGCTCGATCCTGTGGTCTTCACACCGTAATACCTGAGTCACCCCTTTTTTTGCAAGTATTGCATGTATGTTCAATGATAATAGGCAGCTCCTTGTGACGACATACAATCTTCGTGTTTTTTTGTCATTTATTTGATATACATCAAGTCATATTTTTGGATAATTTTTTTATCGGTGTCATCTGAATCCTCAAAATGACTTCTGAATCTTTTTGATATGTATTTAGATGAATGGAGCACATTTTGTCTGATCATTTTTGCTCTTGGATGCTTCTCGATAGCTCCATCCGTTCTCGAGATATCACCGACACCACAGCGTCCAACGGCGCCCGTCGCCATTATATATACGCCCCATGGGTGATTGAGCCGCGTGGCCAGGGGTGGTGTAGGCGGTTAAGCTTGTGCTTAGCAATCCGAAGACCGCAGGTTCGAGCCCCGCCGAGTGCAAAAGAAATTTGCCTCGGTTAGACACTGATCGTGACGACTTTCAGACCTGACTGAAGGACGTGGCGACTCCGGAAGTGTGTAAACGGTTCAAACCCAAGAGGATGGCGGACGAGAGAAAGAAGGATTAATGTCGGAAGGTTGAAGAAAGAATTCTAGAGTGAGTTTGAGAGAAAGAAAGCTCGATCCTGTGGTCTTCACACCGTAATACCTGAGTCACCCCTTTTTTTGCAAGTATTGCATGTATGTTCAATGATAATAGGCAGCTCCTTGTGACGACATACAATCTTCGTGTTTTTTTGTCATTTATTTGATATACATCAAGTCATATTTTTGGATAATTTTTTTATCGGTGTCATCTGAATCCTCAAATGACTTCTGAATCTTTTTGATATGTATTTAGATGAATGGAGCACATTTGTCTGATCATTTTTTTGCTCTTGGATGCTTCTCGATAGCTCCATCCGTTCTCGAGATATCACCGACACCACAGCGTCCAACGGCGCCCGTCGCCATTATATATACGCCCCATGGGTGATTGAGCCGCGTGGCCAGGGTGGTGTAGGCGGTTAAGCTTGTGCTTAGCAATCCGAAGACCGCAGGTTCGAGCCCCGCCGAGTGCAAAGAAATTTGCCTCGGTTAGACACTGATCGTGATGACTTTCAGACCTGACTGAAGGACGTGGCGACTCCGGAAGTGTGTAAACGGTTCAAACCCAAGAGGATGGCGGACGAGAGAAAGAAGGATTAATGTCGGAAGGTTGAAGAAAGAATTCTAGAGTGAGTTTGAGAGAAAGAAAGCTCGATCCTGTGGTCTTCACACCGTAATACCTGAGTCACCCCTTTTTGCAAGTATTGCATGTATGTTCAATGATAATAGGCAGCTCCTTGTGACGACATACAATCTTCGTGTTTTTGTCATTTATTTGATATACATCAAGTCATATTTTGGATAATTTTTATCGGTGTCATCTGAATCCTCAAATGACTTCTGAATCTTTTTGATATGTATTTAGATGAATGGAGCACATTTGTCTGATCATTTTTGCTCTTGGATGCTTCTCGATAGCTCCATCCGTTCTCGAGATATCACCGACACCACAGCGTCCAACGGCGCCCGTCGCCATTATATATACGCCCCATGGGTGATTGAGCCGCGTGGCCAGGGTGGTGTAGGCGGTTAAGCTTGTGCTTAGCAATCCGAAGACCGCAGGTTCGAGCCCCGCCGAGTGCAAAGAAATTTGCCTCGGTTAGACACTGATCGTGATGACTTTCAGACCTGACTGAAGGACGTGGCGACTCCGGAAGTTTGTAAACGGTTCAAACCCAAGAGGATGGCGGACGAGAGAAAGAAGGATTAATGTCGGAAGGTTGAAGAAAGAATTCTAGAGTGAGTTTGAGAGAAAGAAAGCTCGATCCTGTGGTCTTCACACCGTAATACCTGAGTCACCCCTTTTTGCAAGTATTGCATGCATGTAAGTTTAAAAAAGCATGCAACACTTGTGAACAAAATCCATGAATTCAGGTACAGATCTTGGACGCGCATTCCGATTTTGGTTCAACTTTTTTTGTCCACGCGTATTATTACGTAGAATCGGAATTTTAAAATTCTAGCTCTCCTTCTTCGGGTAGAAAAAAAACTAGAAAATGTCTTCGGTAATGTTTCTTTATACTATCTTAGTTGACGACTCTTTAATATCTCATTCAATTCGCAAGATACAGCAAGATTTTGCAGAACCATTTTTAACAGCCTGTATCTCTGTTCTCGCGACAGCAGCTACCAAATCGACGCTGCTCTCGCGACAGCAGCTACCAAATGGGCGCTGCTCTCGAGACAGCAGCCACCAAATCGACGCTGTTCTCGCGACAGCAGCTACCAAATGGGCGCTGCTCTCACGACAGCAGCCACCAAATCGACGCTGTTCTCGCGACAGCAGCCACCAAATCGACGCTGCTCTCACGACAGCAGCTACCAAATAACCACTGCTCTCACGACAGCAGATACCTAATAAGCACTGCTCTCGCGACAGCAGCCACCAAATCGACGCTGTTCTCGCGACAGCAGCTACCAAATCGACGCTGCTCTCACGACAGCAGCCACCAAATCGACGCTGTTCTCGCGACAGCAGCTACCAAATCGACGCTGCTCTCGCGACAGCAGCCACCAAATCGACGCTGTTCTCGCGACAGCAGCTACCAAATCGACGCTGCTCTCGCGACAGCAGCTACCAAATCGACGCTGCTCTCGCGACAGCAGCTACCAAATCGACGCTGCTCTCGCGACAGCAGCCACCAAATCGACGCTGTTCTCGCGACAGCAGCTACCAAATGGGCGCTGCTCTCACGACAGCAGCCACCAAATCGACGCTGCTCTCGCGACAGCAGCTACCAAATCGACGCTGCTCTCGCGACAGCAGCTACCAAATCGACGCTGCTCTCACGACAGCAGCTACCAAATCGACGCTGCTCTCACGACAGCAGCTACCAAATCGACGCTGCTCTCACGACAGCAGCCACCAAATCGACGCTGTTCTCGCGACAGCAGCTATCAAATAACCACCACTGCTCTCGCGACAGCAGCTACCAAATCGACGCTGCTCTCGCGACAGCAGCTACCAAATCGACGCTGCTCTCGCGACAGCAGCTACCAAATCGACGCTGCTCTCGCGACAGCAGCCACCAAATCGACGCTGTTCTCGCGACAGCAGCTACCAAATCGACGCTGTTCTCGCGACAGCAGCTACCAAATAAGCACTGCTCTCGCGACAGCAGCCATACAATCGACGCTGCTCTCGCGACAGCAGCTACCAAATCGACGCTGCTCTCACGACAGCAGCTACCAAATCGACGCTGCTCTCACGACAGCAGCTACCAAATCGGCGCTGCTCTCGCGACAGCAGCCACCAAATCGACGCTGCTCTCGCGACAGCAGCTACCAAATCGACGCTGCTCTCACGACAGCAGCCACCAAATCGACGCTGTTCTCGCGACAGCAGCCACCAAATCGACGCTGTTCTCGCGACAGCAGCTACCAAATAACCACCACTGCTCTCGCGACAGCAGCCACCAAATCGACGCTGCTCTCACGACAGCAGCTACCAAATCGACGCTGCTCTCACGACAGCAGCTACCAAATCGACGCTGCTCTCGCGACAGCAGCTACCAAATCGACGCTGCTCTCGCGACAGCAGCCACCAAATCGACGCTGTTCTCGCGACAGCAGCTACCAAATCGACGCTGCTCTCACGACAGCAGCCACCAAATCGACGCTGCTCTCGCGACAGCAGCTAACAAATCGACGCTGCTCTCGCGACAACAGCTACCAAATAAGCACTGCTCTCGCGACAGCAGCTACCAAATCGACGCTGCTCTCACGACAGCAGCTACCAAATAACCACTGCTCTCACGACAGCAGCTACCAAATCGACGCTGCTCTCACGACAGCAGCCACCAAATCGACGCTGCTCTCGCGACAGCAGCTACCAAATCGACGCTGCTCTCGCGACAACAGCTACCAAATAAGCACTGCTCTCGCGACAGCAGCTACCAAATCGACGCTGCTCTCGCGACAGCAGCTACCAAATCGACGCTGCTCTCGCGACAGCAGCTACCAAATCGACGCTGCTCTCGCGACAGCAGCTACCAAATCGACGCTGCTCTCGCGACAGCAGCTACCAAATCGACGCTGCTCTCGCGACAGCAGCTACCAAATCGACGCTGCTCTCGCGACAGCAGCTACCAAATCGACGCTGCTCTCGCGACAGCAGCTACCAAATCGACGCTGCTCTCACGACAGCAGCCACCAAATAACCAGCACTGCTCTCGCGACAGCAGCCACCAAATAACCACCACTGCTCTCGCGACAGCAGCCACCAAATCGACGCTGCTCTCACGACAGCAGCTACCAAATCGACGCTGCTCTCACGACAGCAGCTACCAAATCGACGCTGCTCTCGCGACAGCAGCCACCAAATCGACGCTGTTCTCGCGACAGCAGCTACCAATAACCACCACTGCTCTTGCGACAGCAGCCACCAAATCGACGCTGTTCTCGCGACAGCAGCTACCAAATCGACGCTGCTTTCGCGACAGCAGCTACCAAATAAGCACTGCTCTCACGACAGCAGCTACCAAATCGACTGAGAACAGCGTCGATTTGGTAGCTGCTATCGTGAGAGCAGCGCCCATTTGGTAGCTGCTGTCGTGAGAGCAGCGCCCATTTGGTAGCTGCTGTCGTGAGAGCACCGCCCATTTGGTAGCTGTTGTCGTGAGAGCAGCGCCCATTTGGTAACTGTTGTCGCGAGAGCAGCGTCGATTTGGTAGCTGCTGTCGCTGAATCTTGCTGTATCTCGCGAATTGAATGAGATATCAAAAAGTCGTCAACTAAAGAAACATTACTGAAGACATTTTCCATACTATCTTAGTTTTTTTCTACCCGAAGAAGGAGAGCTAGAATTGTAAAATTCGGATTCTACGTAATAATACGCGTGGACAAAAAAAGTTGAACCAAAATCGGAATGCGCGTCCAAGATCTGTACCTGAATTCATGGATTTTGTTCACAAGTATTGCATGCTTTTTTAAACTTACATGCATGCAATACTTGCAAAAAGGGGTGACTCAGGTATTACGGTGTGAAGACCACAGGATCGAGCTTTCTTTGTATCAAACTCACTCTAGAATTGTTTCCTCAACCGTCCGGCCAGAATCCTTCTTTCTCTCGTCCGCTTCCCTTTGGCTTTGAACCGTTTACACACTTCCGGAGTCGCCACGTCCTTCAGTCAGGTCTGAAAGTTGTCACGATCAGTGTCTAACCGAGGCAAATTTCTTTGCACTCGGCGGGGCTCGAACCTGCGGTCTTCGGATTGCTAAGCACAAGCTTAACCGCCTACACCACCCTGGCCACGCGGCTCAATCACCCATGGGGTGTATATACACTGCCGGTCATAATTATAGGTTCACTTCAATTTTTCGAATATTTCGAAAACTAGGCGCTGTATTCAAAAAAGTTCTTAAGGGGATTTTCGGTCACCCAAGGGACCACAAATGTACAAACTAAACCATTCGACTTCAGTGAGAAATTTTCCAAAAATCGTGATTTCTCGAAAAAGTGACTTTAGCGGTTGGTCATAATTATAGGTTCACCACTGAAATTAGCCAGAGGGTCAACTGAATAATTTTTAATTTTAGCTATAACGTCTTCTAAGACTGATTATGACCGTTTTACATCGATTTCCGACAAGCTTCTCGGTTCCCTGATTTTTTGAACCTTTCATTGAGTTTTGGGTCAATCATAACTTTTCGTCTTAAAATCGAACCTAACTTCGGTTTTTTGGCCGGACGACAACAGGATCATTCTGGAATGAGTATTTAGTGAGGTTTTGTGAAGTTTCATTGAGAATCTACGAGAATTTGATATCTTTTTCTAATGTTGAAGTGCTTTGGTCGACTAGTCCCAAGTAAGTTTACATCTGGTTTTTGCTCAAATTTGGAGCAATCTCTGAGAGACTTGACGGCAACATGAAAGACCCAACCAACAATGCACTTGCCAAGTTTGGTACAAATCCGATCATTCTGACCAAACTTCGGAGACGGTTGTCAGTTTCGATCCTTCAAAAAATGCAGAAAAATTTCATGCTCTGGATTTGCTCGGGACTAGGGGGGAATGAAAGGCCCTATAAAAAGGTAAAAAAACGCGAAAAAAAGGTTTCATCTCTGTTTTTGGTGTTTAGCCGAGATACGATCAAAAGTATGAAAAAAACGGTACATCTTTTTTTAGAAAAGTCGCATCTCCGTCAATTTTTTTGAGTAAAACACTCGGTAAAAAAAGGAAAAATGTAGCTAATGAGATGGTCTTTAAGCATACAATTGATTATCTTTGACGAAACAAATTCTTAAAAGAGATATTCAACAAAATATGAAAACGTTTGTACTTATGTACACTATTTTGCGAATACAGTTTGACGGGACTATCACCATTAGATTCAGCGTCCAAAATAAGGGCCGTATGCAAAAATTTTGCCTTGGGAAATCGCTTTGACGGAAAAAAAGTAATCGACAATATGCTTTGCCCCTGTTTTCTTGTGGTTCTGTCTGTTTGCTAGCCTGTATCTCCTCAACCGGTAGAGATACCAAAACGTTGTCAACTGTAAAGTTAAAGGTACATGTCCAAGCTATAAAACTTTAGTTGAACGCTTTTTTTAATCTCTACTCGTTCACAAGTTATGGCCGTTTCCGAGTGATCACTCAAAAACTGATATTATCGCATTTAAGGAGTGGTCCTACAATTTTGGTCTCAACATAAAAAATGCTCAATAAGAGGCTAGACATCAAATGTCGTTCAGCCTGTGTTGATCCGATCTCTTTCGAAATATTTTATGACTCATGCTTGTTTCGAACACCCTTCTCTACTTTACGGTAGGAGAGTCACACTTCGAAAGAGATCGGATCAACACAGGCTAAACGACATTTGATGTTTAGCCTCTTATTGAGCACTTTTTATGTTGAGACCGAAATTGTAGGACCACTCCTTAAATGCGATAATATCAGTTTTTGAGTGATCACTCGGAAACGGCCATAACTTGTGAACGAGTAGAGATATCAAAAAGCGTTCAACTAAAGTTTTATAGCTTGGACATGTACCTTTAACTTTACAGTTGACAACGTTTTGGTATCTCTACCGGTTGAGGAGATACAGGCTAGCAAACAGACAGAACCACAAGAAAACAGGGGCAAAGCATATTGTCGATAACTTTTTTTCCGTCAAAGCGATTTCCCGTGAATTTTTGGAAAAAAACCGGTAAAAAAGCGGAAAAAATAAAATGTCCGAGAAGCGCGTATATTTTTATATATTTTTCGGCCATTGGCGCTAGGCCACGGCCACGACTTCAACTGCATGCCGTTTCGTTCATTGGCATTTTTGAGAGGCAGCATTTCACCAGTGTATGAGGCAATAAGAGACAATTCAAAAAGTCACAAAAACATTTTACAAAAAAATCAAAAAATTTTTGGGTTCCCTGGTCCTTTAAGATGTCGTTGAAGGCGGCGCTCGTCCACGTCAAGGCTGCTCAAGCAAAGGTCGTCATAGGACATCGCGCCGAGAATGAGCAGATCCAGAATGCGTACCACTACAAGAAAAAGAAGCTCCGTGGATACTAACTTTTTCATTTTTTTACTCCTAGTCCCGCAGCTATTAATAAAAGTTTAATAAAACAAGAAATGGACACGTCACCTTTCTGACGGTTTTGAGAACCAAAAAGCCCGTATATCACACGAAACAATAAAAGTTTGCTCGGGGGTACCATCATGAACTTCAACCAAATCAGTTTAATAGCTGGGGTCAAGCTTCGCTTCAAATGGCCAAAACTTCCCGTAAAATAATCATTTTTCTCCATTCCTCGGTATGGAAAAGTCTCGGGAGAGCACGGAGGAACCGGTGACTGTTTTGGCTCCTCCGATAGATATTCCAATGTCAACAGACTACTGCGGATCGCCAGAAAATGACACCACGTCAGAGATACCGAAAGATCCGCTTCCAGCTTCTGTCTGCAATGATGGATCCTCTGAATACTTTCATCCAGCCTCAATCAAAGAATCAAAGAAAAAGTAATTGCAGAAAACGGATAAGCGACGTCAACAAAGAAGCAAGCAACTGGAAATGGTCAGGCAACTGGTGAACACGAAGAAAATTTGCTCGCGCCCCTTGTTCGGCCAACAAAGATCTGAGCACTGTTCGTAGACTGGGAGCCCAGACGGAAGTGCGGATCTCTTTCTTCGAGACTTCACAGATCCAATCGGATACGCCGCATTTGCAATCGGTCACCACCCGAACGAAACCATTGAGTATTTCATTTGCATTCCACACGAGAGACAACGCCTTCGGGCACTTGCTGAGTTGAGAGGTCCGATTGTTGTTACGGAGAAGGAGAGTCTCATGATTTCTCATATGCATCGTAGATACTCGTTTTCCAGAATCTGACCAATGTTGTGGTCCGTCGTTTCCCGTCGTTTGCTCGACAGTGACATCTCCAAGTCAGGATTCCAGGACGATGACGAAGAGGTTGAACACAGTCATATGCCAAGAAGCCACGCTTCCCGATACGAAGAGGTTGATGAGATGAGTGAAAAGGATGAATCTTCGGTGAGTTTTTGGGTCTTCAAAAAAAAACATTGTTATCTTTTCCTTTTCAGAAGAAAAGGAGTACATCTTCTCATCGCCAGCATTACGATGATTTCGAAGAGCATGAAAACAAAGTGCCACGAAAAAAGTAAAATCGGAAATGTCCAGATTTCTGCCGCTTAAGGATTTTCCAGCAATTTGGACATTTCCGACACTTGTGCTCGTACCAAATGTTCTCGTATATTCAGTGAAATCGTCACATCAAGTCCCTTAAATGCTGTTCGTCCCTCACGATCCACACTCAGAACATGCTGTCCGTCCGGCAGTTTGTGAACAGTTTGGTGCCTATTTTGCTAATCAGTACAGTGTTGAGCCAGACAGCGCACTCTCTCTCTCGTCTGATCAGACGAAAATTTAAGGCTCTGATGGAAGTTTATGGGGAGATCCAGATGTCGTTGACGGCGACGGCGAAGACATCCGCTCCGACATCTTGCACCAAATAACACGAAACCTGGGTGCAAGTCTTACAATGGCACATGTTTATTCAAACGTTACCCGAATCGTGAAAAAGGTAATAATGTTAAATATAGAAAGTATGAGCAATACTAGGCAGACTATACATTTCAAGGTAAGTTGTGGCTATGATTGTGTCCAAAAATTCGAGCTGACAATCAAATGAAGAAGGCGATGAGCATTGGAAGAGACAAGTGAATTGATGTGATCTTGTAGTCACTTGCAACGTTTGTGTCGTCGTCGTAAAACCTGTAATGGAACAGTACAAATACAAAATGCATTTGGCTATCGCCCTTGACATTCTATCTGTAGCATAACTATGTATGTATATATATGTATACATACTCAAATTCAACGTGTCGCTAAAATTTTTATGGTGAATACTCAGAAATGTGAAGAAGATTCTCATAAAATTTGATGCGGCTTAAGTCAGTTTTGAAAGCTAATACTCACTCATCGCTTCCATTGTCAAGTTTGTCATTCTTTTCAATTGCCTTTTCGTTCTTCTTTCCACGGTTACGACTGTAGTCCTCATCGTTGTCCTCCTCATCTTGACGAATTCTTCTGTTATTCTTCATTCGTGGCACCTCGTTTTCATCCTCTTCGAAATCATCGTAATGCTGGCGATGAGAAGACGTACTCCTTTTCTTCTGAAAAGAAAAAGATAACAATTCTTTTTTTGAAGACCCAAAAACTCACCGAAGATTCATCCTTTTCACTCATCACATTAACCTCTTCGTATCGGGAAGCGCGGCTTCTTGGCATATGACTGTGTTCAACCTCTTCGTCATCGTCCTGGAATCTTGACTTGGAGATGTCACTGTCGAGCAAACGACGGGAGTTGCGGATAGTCTGTCTGCGGGCCAGTTCCTCTAGCTCCAAATCGTCTTTTCCATCAGTGACCTTCGGAATATTGATGACGGCATCCGAAAGACTTTTAATTTCATCCGAAGTGAATAAGGTATCCGTGTCAGCAAAGCTCCGATCAATTGGTGAGCCGATGTAATGAATGGAGGGAAGAATCGCGTCCTGATCGAAATCATTGTCAATGTCGTCATCTTCCAATTCCAAGTTATGCAACTGAACTCCGTCAAAAATAACCAGTCCTTCCTTGAGCGATCCCTTGGAAACGAAAAATGACTGCTCCTGCTTGAATAACTCAGGCAACTCTGATGCCTCCACATGACATTGGAAGAAGTTCTCTCCGATTTTGTCCACAACATTGGTCAGATTCTAGAAAACGAGTAGCTACAATGCATCTGAAAAATCATGAGACTTACCTGCTCCGTAACAACAATCGGACCTCTCAACTCAGCAAGTGCTCGAAGACGTTGTCTCTCGTGTGGAATGCAAATGAAATACTCAATGGTTTCGTCCGGGTGGTGACCGATTGCAAATGCGGCGTATCCGATTGGATCTGTGAAGTCTCGAAGGAAGAGATCCGCACTTCCGTTTGGGTAGAACTGCAGGAGAGTGTTGCACTCTCTGTCCGGATCACAATCGATCGGTTCGCCGAAGCAAGAGTCCTCTCGGGAGCAGTCGATGACGGCGGCGGCAATGGAGCTGATCAGCAAGGCATGAACATACAACAGACGGATGAGCATCGCCTGTAAAATGAAAGATAACAGCTAGCGGAATAGTACAGTACGGCAAAAAGTCTTGAAAACAGTAAAATTCCTGAGAATAAGTCGATAAAAAAGCGTAAACAAAGCCGAAAAACACAAAAAACAAGCAAAACTTGCACACAAGAACACATGCGACAGAACAAGGACAGAAAAACCGATCAGAATGAGCGTAGTGACCATGGCCGAGACTTAGCGGGAGTTCTGCAGATCGAAGAAGGACTTCGCGTCGAGACCCGACCGATGAGAGTGTGTGGCATGTTGAGAAACGCAGGCATAGAGAGCGGCGCGCTGTGCGGTTCTCCGTTGGGTCCGCCGGCAGAACTGTTTATCTCAGTGGTTCGAGGCAGGAAAACACTGGAGGGTAGTGAGAGCCGCCGTCATCGACTGCTCCAGAGAGGACTTTTGCTTCGGCGAACCGATAGAGGTACTGGAACTGGGACTTTCCCGCGACTGTTAGAGGTTGTCAGGTTGATCTGAAGAGCTGTGAATTCGATGACCTGAAAGCAGAATCCTGGGCTCTATTGCCCATTACCAGCATTGCCAGATGTGTTTCACATGACATTGGAAGAAGTTCTCTCCAATTTTGTCCACAACATTGGTCAGATTCTGGAAAACGAGTAGCTACAATGCATCTGAAAAATCACGAAACTCAACTGTTCCGTACCAATCACGGGTTCCTCCGTGCTCTCCTGAGACGTTTCCATACCGAGGAATGGAGAAAAATGATTATTTTACTTGAAGTTTTGGCCATTTAAAGCGAAGCTTGACACCAGCCATTAAACTTTTATTAATAGCTGCGGGACTAGGAGTAAAAAAATGAAAACGTTAGTATCCACGGAACTTCTTTTTCTTACGGAAATCTTCTTATTGTAGGTCTTGGTGTTCTTTCCGTCGCGAGTGCGGACAGTGGCGATTTGCAACGAGCGACCCGAGGATAGCGTCGATGGGATATTCTGGAATCAGAGAATTGAGGAAACTGCTATGAGAAGTGAATGGACTAACCACGGAAATAATCGGACGCGGAGCAACGAGCTCAGTCTTGATCTGCTTTAGCCATTTCAAGGTCTGAAAATCTCCACTCCAATTATAGTATCCTTCAATTCGTTGTGCCCTACCTGATCCTGCGGACGGTGTTCTGGTTCTTGTTTTTGTTAACGGCCGGAGTTCACTTCTCGATGGACTTTTCTTTCGTCTTTATGAATTTTCATGAATTGAATTATTTTCAAACAGTTTTGAATGGAATCCGTTTGAATTAAAAAGTCTGGCAAATATAATTGTGATTAGGACTGTAAACATTTTACGAACGGCATGCCCTTCTAATACAGTATTTGCGGTATGTACAAGATTGATGTTTTCAGTTCCCCACACAATCAACAATTGCCACTCCGAGCAATCCGAAACGACCAACTTTGAACCCATCGAGCAGCGGAGAGCCGTAGTCGAAAAAACCTGCCAGATCCGAAAGGAGTTCCGTGCTTCAACGCAGTCGATATTCATAGTCAGCCATTCGGCAAGGATTTCAAGCGGAAAACTCGGATAGACTGCAAAGCTCCAGGCGAGGAATCGGATTCTTCTTTGATTTGGTTACACTCGATCATTCACAACATTTTCATGCACTTGTATAACAGTCGGAAACTCACAAAATATATAATCACAAGACATTCTTCTCCGCATGTTTTTTTTGAAGTTCACGTATCCATTTCTTCGTTTCTGCGTCACAACGTTTCCCGTTTTAGAAATTAAAAAATGGCCGGATAAGCGGATAAAGAAAGAAGGAAGGAAAGTTACGGACAGACCCCGAATTGCGGGCCAATTGTGGGTCTCTTTTCGTTCTCGCGCCCTTTTCGCGCCCAGTTCGCCCGCATTTCACCCGCACTTCATCTTCGCCGGTTGTCCGTTTATCCGCGAGTTGGTAGAGCGGAGGACTGTAGAGTCAGTGGTTATCCTTAGGTCGCTGGTTCGAATCCGACTCGACGGATCTCTTTTTGCTTGAAAACGGTGCTTTCAATTTCGAATGCAGTCTGGTTTTTTCGGCAAATTCCTTACAACTTCTGAATTGCAAAACAGTTGAGAATGTTTTTAAAGGATTTAGTGACAAAAATAAGGTAAAGCATAAGATTTATGGGAATGACGTAGAAATCTGGAATACTTGGAGCATAATTTACAGAGACACGAGAATTTCAACCCGTTTGTGTCTTACACAATTGATAGGATTACGGTTGAAACAAGAATACTGGAAATGTGGAAGAATCTGGTTATGCATACAGAGTGGTAATGAGTTGTTTGTAAACTAAAGCCGTCGGAAAATTGTGAAGGTAGTTAAGAGTAGGAAAACTGGGTTAGCTGCTACGTCATCGCTGGGGTTGGATAATGATCTGAAATAAAAAAGACAAGTGATTGAAAGTAATGTGCTTCATAGCAAATATCATTGGCTAGCATTAATGGTGTTAAGGCACTTCACTCACTTCATACTCACTCTTCGTAGTCATCGTACTCGGTGTCAACTCTTATTTTCTTCTTTCCTCTTGCTTCAATCATCCTCATGATCGCCTCTTCGTAATCTTTTTCATCCTGCTCGAGGGTGTCGATGTGCGGCTCCAAAGGAACCATCACGTTGTCAAAATCCTTCAAGTTTTCTTCAAAATCTGATTCGGTTTGGTTTGAGAACTGCGGCACGATGCGATTTTTCTGGAACATTGTTTTCATCACAATTTTTTTTAAAAAACAGACTTCAGTAAAGTAATTAAGGTAACTTCAGTAATTTACCTTGTTCTCATGATGCTCTCTATACCGACTGGGACGACTTTCTTTTTCCTCTGTCAACACGTTCATCTCGAGCGCTTTGTTGCTTTCCGAAAAGTGGTGTTTCTTATCATTCCAGGTTTCGCTCTCCACCGGACTTTGCATTTCCTCCTCTCTGAGCAAATCATCTTCTTCCAAGTCAAGGTCAGATTCGTAACTTTCATCGTCGACGCTTGTTTGCCAATCCAAACTGAACAACTGATCGCCGTCAAATATGACCAGAGCCTCATCAAACCGTCCTTTTGACACAAAAAAGTGTTGTTCCACGTGAAAATGTTCCGAGAATTCCACAGCATTGAAATGGCAGCGGAAGTGATATGGTCCGACTTTTTCGATGATACCCGTCAGGTTCTGAAATAGTATCTTACGGGATTTGTAGAAACTGAACTTGCAAGATTCCGGACCGGACTAGAGATTTTGCTGGCGCAGAAATCAAAGCATCCTCGTTTTGTCCCGAAAATTCACCGTTAGGCCATGACAGTTTGGCTTTTGTAATCAAAAACTGTATCAAGATAGAGTTAAGGAGGATGTTTTGGTCTCATAACACTGAAACTCATGTCAAGTGATTCAATCAAACTTTATTGAATCGCACCTTTTTAGCAATAAATCATTCTAGCCTGATTCTTTTTCTATTTCGCTTACCTGATTGATAACAATAATCGCTTCACCCAGTGTCGCGAGTGCTCGAACTCGTAAATTTTGGTACGGAACACAGAGGAAGTATTCGATCGTCTCATCCGCGTGTTGATCGATTGCAAAAGCCGCGTAGCCGAGCGGATCGACAAAATTTCGGAGGAAGAGATCCAAATTTCCGAATGCGTCGAAATGGAAAAGCGTGCGGCAGTTAATCTTTGGGTCGCAACCTGCCGGTTCTCCAAAGCATGCGTCTTCGCGAGTGCAGTCCACTGAAGCTGCCGCGAAAGTGATAAGAAGTGCGGAGAGGGTGCACACGATCCGGAGAACCATTGTACGATCTGTAACGAGTAAGGAATAAGAAATGAGGGAAGGATCTTTGAGAAATTGATGAAATCGGATAGGATTGCAGGTGGTGAAGCGAAGGAGACAAGTGGAAATTAATTGTCGATGAGCAGGTGGAGTGGGATGAGGGCGACGACTGGTACCGCAGAAAATTATTTCAAGAGGCTACTATTCTGGGAGAAATTTTCATTGGAAATCAAAGATGGGTGCGGAATCCAAAAGAAAGTGAACAAATTTTCCAGAAAACAACTATGTATATCGAATTTCTGAAGCAATACTTGAAAACTGTTGTTTTACGGGAAAAAATAGTTTCAAAGTTAACGATCCTATGACGACCGACTTATAGAATGATATCATGGTGGCATTCTTATCTTTTCCACAGAAAATCTAACTTTCTTACAAGTCCGAAGCTACTCAAACATTGTGATACTCCCATTAAAATTCGATTACTTATGTGTGGTCTAATGCACTTCACACTAAATCTTTGAAAAGTTTAGTACAACAATTGAGGAAGAAAAATAAAATTATGGCATGTTTGTTATGGACGCAGTTGTTGTTATCACTAACTGTGTTTTGTGGAGTGGGAGGGAAGCTTATCAGTTCCAGTAACACGTCTTCCTTTTGATTGACACTACGTCTTCTTAGCCCCATGTTTGACATTTGTAACATTATTCACCGATGCACATATTGATTAATTTAAAGTTTCATTGTCAAAATCGGCTAACAGACAATATGTACACTTCACGAGAGCATTCATGGCCGGTTAATGAAGAAAAGGGAAGGGACGGGATATGATCACAGATGAGGTATGTTATCAATCAATCAATTTGATTTGTTGAGTGTAATACGGTATTTTGGCATTTCAAAGAGAAACTGGGAAGGAACTAGCCGGAAAACTGAAAAGAGAAACAAAAAAGAATAAGGTTTTGAGCATTTGACAAGCCGTTTGGACAGATAATAGTTTGTGGGAGCGAAGACAGAAGGCAAAAACAATCACGGATTGTAAATCTTCAATAACATTCAATCATTGATAAGGATTCAAACGCCACTGAGTATGTCATCCATAAAATTGTTCCAATCACTCATTTTTCCAAAAGATGGAATCAGACGGACAATTTCGTACATGGTTTTATGATGAGTCTGAAAAAAGGGCAATATATTTTGGGACATCTTTAGGGAACTCTGGAGAAGGCGGCTTATACTAATATTTTTAACTATTTTCTGAGTGGGGCTCAGTTTTTCAAAGTTTCCCTACGAGAATTACAGTTGTAATTTCGGAAAACGTTCCCGAAAATGACACGGATTGCAGGAAATAACATAACAACTCACGGTGAACGCGGGAATCAGGAGTAATAAAAACTCCATTCGAGCCTCAATATCATCAACTCCTTCAGCAGTCAAATACTGTTGCAACTCTTTCATTGCCACGTTACATGCCTGGAAAACGCAAATTGTGTTTAATTTTGAAATGCGCAAATCCGTACTTCAACTGCCAGTGCTCTAGCCATGTCCGACAGCTGCACATTTCCCGGATTCCAGAACATTACTCGTCGGATTGTCATTATTTCTCCGTAAAGCATGTTTCTGCTGCTGATGGGATGAACTAAGTCGTTGATAAGTGCTTGCATTCGATGACCGAACATTCTGCAAATAATCAGGATACGAGAAAGTTAGAGTCACTCTGCTCTGACGGATAATAAAAAACCATAGCAGTCATCACGCGCGTACTGTTTTTCGTTTGCCAACTCACATTTCTTTCATCTGATTTTCATCGACAACATCACTGGACTTGATGTTGACTGGCACTCCGGGAATGATGTAGTTGTTGTTCACAAGTACTAACTGAAAACGTACGCATGTTACTCAATTTTATATACTTTACATCCCCAAAATTGAGACGAACAGCATTATTCACACATAAACACGTTAAATTGAATTTGTTATTGCATTTCCGCTTTTTCCTATAAATCGTGTGATCTATTTTTCATCTGCTTCCAAGAAAGTTTGTCAGAACAACAAAACAACGAGGCACTGAAAACATGCACTAAAAACACGAACCCTGTCCCGGAATCCTAGTTCGTACGTGTGGTAAACATTGTCCAGAAGCATGTACTTCAAGGCGAATGCTCGGAGAAGTTTAGTCTGAAAATATTTCGAATTGATAGTATCGTAAGCCCAACACCAACTCACCTTATCATTATGGTCGCCCAACATTCGAAACTCGGGCAATTTCTCGACCCATTCAAACATCAATACCATTTGCGTTTGGAATATGGTCGTGAAGTCTTCAGAAGTGGCAGGATGCTTCAGAATCATCTCTTGCTGAAAATTTCAGACTCAACAGTAACACCTTCAAAAAGTGGACTCACTTCTGACAGAATTTCTTCTAAAGACCCGCACAGCATTGCTCTCCGTCTCCGTTTTTGTTCCGTGAAATCGTAGACTTGCCTGATTATTAACAAACAGTCACCGGGAGGTGAGGGAGGTATTGCTGGCGTGAAATCCTAAAGCATTTGAAAAATGAGATATGTAGAAAAAGTTAAAAACCTACTGCCAGATTTATGTTCAGTGGTGTGAATGCTGAGCCGGGCGAAGTCATGTCGCTGAGGTCGTAATTTGGTGATGTCTGCAAGTGTTTTTCTTGGAAAAACTTTGAATAATAACTGAATTATGCACAATGTTTAACTAAATACGCTTTTTTTTGTAGTAGTTTGTCAAAACATGAAAAATCTTACCGAAGATAAACTCACCCTCATCCCATTCAACCGAATATCATATTCTGTGTCATTGTGATCGAAAGATCCGTTTATCGAAGTAGTCACTTCTCTTTTCGGTTGAACTGCTTTTTTGTCCATTCCCACTGCATAGCATTTCGCTAATCGACATGCTCGACATGCACATCGAGCATCTGTAAATTAAACAACTTTTAAAATAAAAGTTTCGGTATGTTTTACTTTTTTGCATTACTCTGTGCAAAAAGGTGCTAGAAATCAACTCACTTTTGTCGACTGGACACCTTCCGCCTCTCCGACATGAAAAATTCATGTTGAACGTGACTGCTCTTCGAAAAAATGCATTACAGCCACGACATGATCGGACTCCATAGTGGAATCCATCGGCTGCGTCACCACATACCACACATTGTTCTAAAAAGTTTTTTTTTTCACATTTTAACTCAAAAAGAATAAAGGCTGACCTGTATGACTCAAAATCTCAATATGAGATGGATTTGGCTCTGTGACGAACATTCTGATTTTCTGAAAAAAGAACCTTTTCGAGAAAAATTAGAAGGGAAATGATAAAACTAAGGAATTTCAGCGAAATAAACAGAATATTCAATGAAAACAAAGGCATTTTTGCAATTGTGAATTGTTCATAAGTTCGAACATTTTTACATGTCTACTCAAAGAAGCCCTTTAGAAAAACAGGGAAAACTTTGCCACAGTCAAATTCAAACTTTCAGCTGGTCCTCTTCCTAGTTTCTCCCCTCGTTTCCTTCATAACGGCAGTTGGTGGTCGGCCGGTCCGTCCTTCTCTTCTCTCGGGTTGAAACGGCAAGAAAATACGGCGGGCGAGAGAGCGAGAGAAGCGAAAGATCGACTGGTGGAGGCCACAGAGAGAAAATAGGCTGCACGTGCTTTATGTTGACAAGACGGGGGCAAACCGGCCTGTGGAGGAGAGGAGAAGAAGATAATGGGTTAGAGTCTCGGGGAGACGAGAGAGGGACAAGAAGAGAACGAAGGACCACGTTCATTGTATGCGGTCCCTCTATGCCCGCAAGGAGGGGGAGGTGGTTTTTGTTTGATCGGGCGAAAGAAGGAGATAGAGAGAAAAGGTGTCTTCTGTTTACTCTAACATAAGTTCGGGAAAAGAGCAACTTAATTAATTTTTTGAACGTTATCATTATTTTCAACAATAAAGTGTTGAGAGTCCAAAGCAAGACATTTTTAGGCGTTTTCAGGTAAACAAAACTGCTGGAAAGAATGCAACTAAAGGTTTTCAAATTTGGTTTAAAAGTAACAAGAAAAAATTGAACAAACTCTGCAGCGCGCTCAAAAAAGATCCATGTTCTACAACATCGGTGGAGTTCGCGAAATTTTCAGCAAAATTTCAAATTCGAAGAGAGCAATATCGCAACATGCAGTGACCAAAATATGTCATGCTATGCAACATTTTCATCTGGTTATAATCCGATAACCACCCCATTCATGACATGAAAACGTTTTTCCTTTCTCTAAACAATCTCGCGTAGTACAAACAACAGCGCGGCGCCACAAAAAGCCGAAAAAGCACAAAACGCATCTATCATCTCTTCATACCTACATCGGAGGTGCCCCTTCCCCTTCTTTACGGCCTTTTTCTTCACCTTTGTGTGCGTGCGTGTATGCGTGTCTTGCACGCGGCGCTTGCGCCCCGTCAGCAAGCGCTATACTACACAAGAGTATAGAAAAAAGGGGTGGGGGAAGAATGATTTTTGAGGATGAGGACGTAAAGAGTTGTGGAAGAAAATGAGGAGAATATAAGGAGAAACGAGTGACAACGAAAAGGGAATCTCTTGGCGTCACTTGTCTTCTAGACCCTTCCTCTTGTCACACGCTTTGTTTTTCACGTGGTGGAACGAACAAACAGAGACCAAACTTCTCTCAACTTGCACTTCTTCAACTGGTTTTTTTTCCAATTTCCGACGTGATTTGCATAGAAATTTTCGGAGTGCAAAACGAACCGTCATAGTAAGAGGCTTTGTGCTGGGAATATTTTTTATATTCTGTGAAACACAAAAAAGCATGAAAAATTGGTTGGGATCACAGATAGATTCATCAAGTTTGCCATTTCGAATCAACCGCTATTGACCGGCCGCACTGACACTCTCTAAGGTGTTGCTCTCTAAAATTTTAACAAGCCGCCCGAGTGCCTGTCACAATTCCATCGTCAGAGGAGAAGGAGGAGGAGGAGGTATTGCAATACACATACACAATTGAGATACGGCAGTGAAAAAAAAGTCAACTGATACATTCACATAAACAAGTGCTTCGAATTCAATTAAATGTGATACCCCTTCGTATTGCACAACCTTTCTTTCATAACGAAATGAAAAAGGTGGGCTACATGTGATAGGTATGAAGAGGAACAAAAAAAGAGGCACAAAAAGAGATCAAACTAAATTTGAAACTTTTTACACATATGCATGGGCAAATAACCTTTCGGAGCATTAATAATTGAGTTGCTTCAAACTGAAAATGTCCGTTGTCTGAGTAACCGCTGAAACTAAATTATATGCGCCGAGCCGAGAGCAGAAGCTGCGAACTTACTTTGAGATATTTCAGTGTGAAAATGAAAACTTTTCTACTGTTCTTTCTAACTTTTCTGTTTCGAACTGGTTACGGATTCAACTGCTCGGATAGTGAAACGCTGTGTCAGGTGAGATTTTGAAGAGAAAGACAAGTGCTTTGGGTGATTTAGAGAAATTATTCTGAAAAGAAACCAGGCTCTTAGTGTTGTGCAACTTTTTGGAGTTGGAATCAGGATTTAGCTTGCAAAGTTGTGGTTTGGTCAGATTATTGAAAGTGTTTCCAAAGTCCAAGGTCAGGAAGGCTCTTTTAAAACGCGGGCTGGAATCAAAAAGGTGTAAAATTGTCAATCTCCGACCAGTTTTCAATATTTCGAACATTTGTTAAAGTTGAACGAGCAGCTAGCCAAACATAAATTAAAATGAGCAAGCTACGCAAAGAGATTAATTGCAGGTGTGCAAGAAATTCGGAGAGACAGATGGCGTGTACACGTATTTTGTCGCCAACCAATGCTCTATTTATGCGGCTGTCCAAGAAGAGCAAGGCGGATTAAGTGTTCCCGAAAGATGCGAGCTACTTTTCAGCAAATTATATCGTGAGTGGACAATAGCAAAAGCGTGGGTTATAAATTAGAGTGTGTATTATGCGAATAACGGAATAGAACGTTCGTTTTTGTGAGAAAAGTCTAGTAAGAAGAACAGGAACAGAATGAGAGAAACGGATAATATCGGATCGGATAGGATTAGATTTCTGCGTTCGTTCGTTCGTTCCAACCCCCTTTTATTACCAGCGTCTGCTTCAAACGAGATCTTAGATCATAAGAGGTGTACCCGTTTGATAAGCACACAATATTCAGCCACCTCTTGCCAAATGGCTGTTATCTCAAACGTTGATCTCCTCGGCTACTACATTCAGTATGGCATTCGTGCGGTGAGACTTTTTGCGATTTTTTTCGAAAATAAGATAAGGATCAAATTGAAAAACACGTTTTTTGATTACAGTTTGATCATAGCATGCTGCTCAGTTTGGAACGGGACAATTGCTCATCCACATGGAATTGGTGGTCTCGACTGAAAAATGAGACTACGACCGCTGGAGTGGGTAGTGCCACCGAAGATTGTGATATTGTTCAAGGGGCTTTTGAGGTAGGAAAATAAGTGTTTCAACAATTCCAAAAATAAAATCTTATAGGGCTTCAACCTTGTCAGAATCAACCCGTCAAACTTCACACCGACCGGTGTCTTGTGTCAATGCAGTGAGTGCAAAAACTGCAGAAATTGATGATACTTCAAAAATTTGCAGGTCAACAAGTATCATTTTTGCCTACTGTCGCACCGAACGCTGATAGCTCTCCGGAATTTCGATCGACTGTTTCGCTAGCCATCTTTTCACTTTTTCTGTTATTATAGTGTCACACAACGTGCAAATACATGTTTACCAAATGATAAAATAACTTTTCGGTCGTAGTGAATCGGAATCGGACCGAGAATAACTTTTAGGCCCGATAAAATTCCCGAGAACGTTCTAGAAAAGATAGAAATCTGAGACTACGATGAAGTTTCCACGGGGTTTCAAGGTCGACTAACCAAACGTGTCTAACGCAAAAAAAAAGAACATAATAATGACAACGTGGTCGGACAGTTTACACAATCATCAATCACACGACATTTGCAACGGACACGTGATAAGATAAGGGATAGTTTGGAGAGAACAAGTGAAAGATTTGTGAAATTCTTCTCCTTTTATAGCATTACGGGAGTTAGGTGTCATAAATCACGCAAGTGACCGTGAAACATGTTCTTACTTCCCCATGGAAAAAGTTGATAAAACCGGAGTTCAATATATTTATCGACAATGTATATGTTTAGGATAATGCTCATGTTTAGGATAAAATCGCAGAAAATCTTTAGCGTTTTGCTGTCATCCACTCGGTTTCCTCAGGTGACACTCCTTGAGCTTTGAGCCTTCCTTCGTAGAACTTGAGCGCATGGACTGGGAATCTGGAATGTCAAGGGATTGTGAAACTCGGGCCAATTGGGCTGGGCCGGTGGTCGGACCTCCATCGGTCCTGCACGGCCACGGCAAGTCTGATTTTTTGTCCAGAAAGCAATTGTTCATTCACAAAAAATTCTTTTTGAACATTTTTTCTTATCATGCTTTCCCCTAGAGGTTTTCCGGATCCTAATTCCTTTTTCTCCTTTGCTAGATGTCGCATTTGAATGCGGATAAGCGAAAAGCGAATTCTCATCAAGATGCGCTCCTTGGCTATTAAGAAGAACACCATGTGGTTCTATTGCGCGGGCAATGAAGAAAAAAATGGAGGTCTTTGTGAAGAAGGTGAGGAGGAGGGCGAGGAGGTTGAATACACACGCAAGGTCAGCGAGACTAAAGGAGAGGGAAAAGAGAGGGTTATTAAACAGAAATGAGGTTGGTGCAAAGATCAAATGGAATAATATGCATGTATGTGCAGGGTTTGGTTGTTCAAATATCTTGTTAGATGGCAAATGATGGGTATTGATTGATTCAGGGTTAACTGGAGGTTGACTTTAGTCTGCCCAAAACGCTCACCTATCATACACTTCTTTCGCCGGAACCAAATCACACGTGCCATCTGTGAATCTGCACAATATTTGTAGTTGTCCAGGCGCCTTTGTCACTCCAATGATGTTGTCCAAGACTTTTCCGCGCAACTGTTCCGTGTTGTAACTTGAAGATGTTTCTGGTTCGGGCGAGTTTGATGGACTCCGATTTTGCCTTCTATGACGTTCACGCTAAAATGTATGTTTCTGTGATGAGAATGGGCGGAATTATGTACTCTTGAGCATGCTTTCTCGTATTCTTCAATCATCCGATCGCAATGAAGGTTTTCCTTTGGCTCCCAAGTACTATCGGCTTGTGAAAATCCCTGAAAGTCCACACTTTCAGCGTCATTTTTCAATTTTCCGATCACAAACCTCCCATTTGATAAGGAATTCAATTTTGCCCGTCCGACTGATACGTTTGTCCATCACTTTTTCAACCACAAACACTTCTTTTTTCTGTAATACATAGGGATCTCATAAATCAATACTCACTGGAAAAACTCACTTCCGCTCGTTGCCGTGCACTTCTCACTGGGTTTTGGCGCGTCGACATTTTGTGGTCACTGCAATTTTTGGCTTTCGAAACGAATTTTTATCGACGAGAAAGAGAGGGAGTGAGAGAAAGAGTCGAAAGTAGAGCAACTCGCTCGCGTGTTTGCCGCGTGCGCGACTGCTGAGGCAAGGAAAGGAGGGCGGCGTTTTTGCGAGAGGACAGCTGTTTACTACACAGAGGATTGTGAGTGAATAGAGGCAACGGACGAATATGAAAAACTGTTGTTATAATCTGAGTCCATTTGGCTTGAAAAGAGAAAAACTTCTTCATCTGTTTGAACAAATCATTATTTTGTTATGGTTTGAATGATTGCTCTGTCAGAATTGTTGAAAATTGCCTGTAATTAACTGAAATTTAAAAAAAGCAGAAGTGAATTGAGCATCATTCATGTAGTCCATTTTTGAATACATTACAATACACATGCTCTCACAAATATGATGCTCTCTGACGAAACCACCTCCGTCACAAATGCACAAATCTTGTTGCAAGCTGGTTTTACATCATTCCACAAAATTAATCACTGCCGCATAAAGAAAACCACTCGAGAAAGTCCCTTTTCACTAGAAAACCTACACATTTTTTGTTCATCAGAAGTTATAAAAGTTTCTGCGCGACGTCGTCGCCACTTTTACTCTACTCGAGTATTTCTCCTTCAAAATTGGTCAAATTAGAAAAGTGTGTATTCACTCAAGTTTAAGGACATCAGAGGAGAGACAGAAAACAGAGATCGGTGTGTTTCTACATAATTTCACGGGGACAGTAGAGATCTAAACGCGGATTTCAACAAGAACTGAATTTACAAGACAAAAGAAACATTGGGAAGAAAGGAAGGGAGGGAAGCGATTTTGAAATAAAATCTGGTTAATGAAGATAAAGATGATAAAGGAGATGGAGATGATGATTGTGCTGATGATGCTGATGGATGTACTCGTACACCGCGTCCTTCTCCAAACTGAATCCAACCGCACAGAACTGATCCACGTCGGTCAGGACGTAGAAATGATATCCGTAGGGATTGCCGCTGCACAGGAAGAATCGGCTGTCGAAGAAACGTGGCGGCTTTCTTCGCGGCAGTTCTTTCAGCATGGTCTTGATAGTTTTGTACGGTCTTTTGGAGTCTCCTTCTTGCTTTTCCACTGAAAATTTTTGCAGTTATTGTGAAACATGTTGAGCTCAAATTCTCACTCGTAAAAAAGATGACTGGAACCTTGGCGTCAAAGGCCGACTTAGCGAATGATTTCATAATTGACATAAAATTGCGCTCTTTTGTTCTTCTCTCATCCACTATTTCGTTATAATAGCAGTTGTCGTCGATCGTGGCCAGGAAGCTTTTGCGGAGATATTCCACGAAAACTCCGTTGGTGTTGATAACAGCCTTGGAGAACGCCGCTTTGAGAAGTTCCGGGTGGAAGTAAACGAAGGGGATGTCGTTTTTATCGATCGGACCTAAAAATGGACTTCTTCTAATAGGCGCCTAACTTTTGATTCGAAATGTTTAAGTGAGTAGCAGCTACAGCGGGTGCGGCAAAAACGCGTTTCTAATAATATCAGATTCCCAGTAACAGACTTTTTTCGGAAAACAATTTTTAATCAGTCTACAGATTATCACATTAACTCACATTCTCTGAATAACATTGCCAGCTTCTCGCGAACTTCCGGATCGTGCTTCAGCTTGTCCTTCATGAAAGTTTGCACAGACAGAAACTGCAGAGAGGTTGGGTCAATGGTCTCCAGGTCCTGAACCTCATTTAAGTAGGCCTTGCCGAAAATGGCTAGCGTCGACGGGTCAACGTCATCTTTCAGGAATATCTTGAACATCTTTTGGTAGACGTTGGGGAACTGCCCCTGTTGAATCGCGTCGGATGCGCCCGTGACGGCCGCCATTTCAACGTCTGAGAACTGAAAAGAAGGAAGGACTGAATAGTTCAAGAGAAGTGGACGGGAAGAAGAAAGAAGAAGAAGAAGAAGTGCGTGAAAAGGGAGAGAGGGAGCGAGGATGGGGAGATGGGGCGGCAAAATGAATTGAGACATAAATAAGAAGAAATGAGAGCAGAACCCACGGAGCTTCTTCTTTTCTTCTCCCTTTTCCTCTTCATCTCCGTTTCCCCCCGTTCTCTTCCACTTTGCCCCTTCGACGAGCTAGTGGATCAATAAGAAGAGGGAAAGAGAAAGAAAGGAAGAAGAAGAGAGTTTATGTGCTCTATCGCTCGGCGTAACTTTGGCCTCTTGAAGGCGTGCAGTCGAGAAAATTTATGCTTTCCACTCCACTCCACTATAATCCTCTTTTTGTTTGGTTCGGATTCGTGTCCATCCAATTAGTAGGAGTGGAAAAAAGAAAAATGGGGAAGGGTAGGACGATGGGATTACATGGGCTCTGACCCTCGTAAGTGTTTTATTGAACTGGAATTCCGTGGGTGTAGAGCAACAAAAAGCACAATGGAGGGAGGAAAAGGAAACAAAACGTATAATATCACAAATTATGTCACGATCTTTATTTTTCAGGCTTACAACGAGTCGGGTCGGGCCTAAATCTGAAATTCTCCGGCCCGGTCGGCTTGACAGACTCCAATATGATCTAAACATTTCCAACACTGAAAAAAATTCATTCAAAGTAAAACATCCGAGCAGGCCGGTCATCTTGCTAGTCTATTATTATTGTTGCTTGTCGTTGCTTAAACTTCTCACACAAACCAGTGTAGTCACTTTATTTATTCGCAGATTTTAAAACAAACGGAGAAGAACCACACTATGTCTGTTATTCAAATGGAAAAATTATTGGAACATTTGAGAAGACAGAAACATAAATATATGAAATAGCAAATAGAAAACGACTGTGAGAGATACATCATAACACCGTAAGGCATTCTAGAATTAAAAATTTACGAAATATTCACAAAGACGAATGACTTAAAGTTTTTCAAAGCTTACTTAGCTGAATCCAGTTGAGGCAAGTAATTTTGACCGAAATTTTCAACTCTTTTTGAATTACTACGTTTTCACAAAGGAGTGATATGCGAAATGCGCTAACAAAGAAAACGTTTTTGGCGCATTTTACTTCCATTCAAACAAAAAAATTGAATGAAAAAAATTTGAGCAAACTTAATTTATTAAAATTTATTAAAAAAATTTAATAAAATTTATTAATTTATTAAAACATGCGAGATGTTTATTCAAAATGGAAAGGACCATGTCTATCTGGTCGAAAAGTGACGAGATCTCTGTCAAGATCAATAGAGCATCGCCAACCAAAGGGATTGCCTTCTCTGCCATAAAGATGACGGCTCGGCTTCACGTTTGGTAGACCTTTCGGCAATTCGAACAGCAGAAATTTAAGAAATTCCAGGCTACAAGAAGAGTTGGGTGGCGAAGTCCAGAACGGTGGTGCCGTCACTGTAAATTGTCTCACATTGTCATTCAGTCAACTAATAACGCAACCTCACCTTTAAAAATAACCGCCAAAGTGAGTTTGGGGGCATAGAGAACGACTCTCGCCATTTCCACAATATAGCGATTATCTACGTACTGGTCATCGCGCACGACTTCATGTACATAGTAAATGCCGTTCGCGAACACACTGAACAATCCCGCTTTGTAAGTGAACACCACTTTTTGATCCGGTATAAGCATCAAAGACGACATGATTGCATATTGTACGAGAAGCGCATTGTCATAGACAAATCTGCACTTTTCCAATGTGACCTCTCCTAAAAATCAAATAGTTCTCCTCAAAACGTCTTCTATTGACGCTTACCTCGGCGCAGAATCTCTGCAATCTTGTTTCTGACATCTTCGCGCTCCACAACTTTGTTTATGTATGAGGTAGCAGCTAAACCCGCCAGCGACGATGGTTCCGTGCGCTTCAGTCCGAGGACTACCTCTTGATGCCGAGTCGGTCTGTGCTCTAAGCTCGACCAATACGCTTCTGCCAGATCAGCAACAGTCAGTCGAGGACAAGGTTGACTGTCGAGTATTGCTCCAAATATCTTCTCATATCCGTTTCTGACGATTCCATCTTCGTCCATCATCTTGCCTGCAAAATTTTAAGCTTAGTACGAGGGAAGGGCAAACGCGTGAAAAGTCAATAACGGTTAGACGGAAATATTGGGAAGAGAGTAGAGGAGAATAGAAATGAATTTCTTGGATACAATGAAGTTTCAGCGAAAAAATAGGGAAAGAAACCAATTAATGGCAAAAAACGGACAATTTTAAGACTAGTGAAGCGAAACAAGTCAAAACACAACTGCGACACATGAATGTGCAGAAGAGCTGCACGGAAAAATGGGCGGAGATTCTGACGTTAGGAGGGGTGATTTTGCATCCATCGGATTCAGAATGTATCCGAAAAAGGAGTCTTCAGACGGATTGGAATCACGTCACGTTCCGTTTTGTTCTCCGGCAACAGTTCATGCATTTGGTTAAGAGACGGAATGCATTTCCATTGAAATTCACGTAACCCGGATGCATCAACATGCGTCCTGTATGCTCCAAAACAAAGGCCGTGAGAGGGAAGTCCAGTTATTCCGATTTAAAATCAAATCAATCGCTCTATTTCACGGCTTCATGACTGTGATTCACCTGGAAAATAATGGGAATTACAGAGAAACCTTCATTGATATAAACATACTCACTTGTTTCGTCTGGTCGCGGATCAACACCAACTGCTGGATCGTTCTTTTCCTTAGCAAACGGTTTAGTTACTGTTCCAAACGTCATTTCCGTGACTCGGTAACTGGACTCGTTAGATCTCTGTCGTCTCTTACTCCTAGCGTTTGTGATCTTTCTGGCTTCAATTTCCAATGATTTCCTTGATCCTTGAGAGAAAATAACGTAGTCTTCTTTGCCCGTCACTAGCACGAACAAAGTCGTCTGTAATGGCGTTGTACGGGTGAGATTGGTGGAAAGAAGCCGAATAGCATAGTTTCAGTCTGAAAATTGAAAGTAAGAAGGTTGTCTGTAGATATTTTAATGAGAAAATGAACGCGTGATAAAAGCCAAAAGAAGTTTTATCGATTTTTTCAAGAAATTTGTCCGAAACACTGGTTGTCTTATTTTTTCTCCAAAGAAATAGCATTCTGAGACTTCAGATATGATTTAGTTCTTGTTTTTGATCGAATTTCATCTGAAGTTCAATAAAAATATGACAAAAAAGAGAGGAAATTGGGTTTTCCGGGACAAACATATCAAAACACGACTGCGGCATATGCATATGCAAAAGTGCCGCACGGAAAAGTGGGCGGAGTGTCCGACGCAAGAGTTGAGGTTTACAGTGCTTTTGTTGTCTAGTGAAAAAGACTACGAATTCTTCAAGAATTGCAACATTTTTGAATGAAATTTTTGATATAAAAAGTTGCTTTTCAAAGCGATCACTCACCGAATTTTGCTGAGAAATACATCCAAATCGTTGATATGAAATCTTTATGTGATCCTAAAGCTTGTCAGTAGCACGTTAATCTCCAAAACATGGCAAGACACGCTTTGGACCAGTTGAATTCACAACACGTTCATTTTTCTCGAGTTGATGGCTGAATTGTGAAGATTTTTAGACCCCGGGTGTCGATTACGAATTCTTGGCAATGGAAACTCCAGATCGTACTATCAGAACCATGGCTATGTCAATTTCTCTTGATTCTCCACGTCAGGTGTACAAAATCCGTCATGTATGCTCCAAAACATAGGCAGCGAGACCTCGGAACAGCGGAGCGCCACGAAAACCGGTTGTTTCGGTTCCAGACCAAATTATTTTAATTTCACTGCTTCCTGACTGTGATTGATCTGAAAAAATAAATGAAATTGCACCTTGATTGATACTGTGATACTCACTTGTTTGGTTAAGTGGTTGATCAACGCTAACTGCTGCTTTGTTCGCTTCTTCAGCGAACGCTCCGCTCCGGTTACACTTCCAATGGTTATTTCCGTGATTCAGTATTTGAACTCTTCAGTTCTCTGTGATCTTCCTCGAAGATGGCGCCACTGTTTATCGGTCACTTGCGGTTTTCTTAGCTCTCTGATAGCTCTCGATGATCTGTGGCCCATCCAAAGTGCGAACATTGCAAAAATCGCTGACTCTGCACGCTTCCCATTCTCATTACCCTGTAATTCTTATGCGACCGCAACGCACACGCATCGCGCGTCTCCCGTCGCAGTGTTGGAGGCCTCGGGGCAGAGCGTGTGCGAGCCGGCCGAAACAAGGGGCAATGCAGAGGGTTAGACAGTAGGGGGAAGGAGAAAGGGGGAAAAGATGGATGAGGAGAGGGAGGAGGGGGAAAAGATTGACGAGGAGAGAGAGATGGAAGGTCATTCCCGTGCACCCTCACATCGCCCACGGCGTTTTTTGATTGCAAAAAAACAGTCGAGGCCACCGGAATTTTCAAAAACTCTGAAAATTGACATGTCCTGCTTATTTTTCACTTTTTTCCTGTGAATTTATTGATAATTGCTTGTCGTCATGTCGTTCCACTATCGCCAACTGAGAATTTAGTCATATCCTGCATAGATGATGAATTTAGAGTACCACACTTCTGTGCACTGGAAATTAACTCTATTTTTCGTTTGAAACTCATCAATTTGTTATCAAAATACTAATACTGATAACAGTTAGGCGCATAGTTTTGCAGAGAGTAAGAAAGCGGCGGAGGAAAACGTTTGTTTCGTTGTAAACACATCGTCCACTTGTTTTATCACTATCAGTTCCCAGAGTCTTTTTTCCAGTAGTGATGGTGATAATAGGCCTAAAGTAGTCTACAAGTCATTTTACCCTACGAGAAAACAGTCAATTCCAAGTGTCGTAGGCTTGGGGCTTGGGGTAGCTTGTCTAGTAATTTATCTCGTTGGAGAGTTGGCGGCCAACTGCTCCGTTTTGCCTTTTCTCTCGATCTTGCCTCCTCGCTCCTCCTCCTTCTTCTTCTCCTTCTGCTTGGTCCCATCCTCTGCAAGCCTCGTTTTCTCCGCCAGTGGGTTCTCGCTCTCTTACTCGTAGTAGTATCCCTTCTTTAGTCGTAGTAGTATCCCTTCTTTTCCTCTTGCTCTCTTGCCTCTGCGCACTATTTTCATGCTCCGCCGAAAAATCGGAAAATTCCTATCGATTTCCGTTGCGCTTGCTTGTTTCTGCTTTCCTCTCTAACTTTACGTGTACGTTTTGCAGGGAGCTATGTCTGAAAACGTTCCAACTCCGATTCTCGTGCACGATCCCGAGATGCTCAAAAGATTACTTCTGGGCAGCGATGACGACAGTTTTCTGGATTCTGATGACGATAAGAGCGAAGACAGCCAGGAGACTCCGGGAACCAGCACTGACGACGCGCGCGAGGAACATAAAAAGAGCACGAGAGGATCAACTACAAGGCGTGACGTCACCATGGACCTATTCCACGATGATGTGCTGACCGATAAAGCCAAAGTTCAATTGGCTATTCTGGCGGAAACCGACCCGAAAACCAGAGCTCTTCTCGAGGAAATGGTTAGTTTTTTTGAGTTTGGAATTGGAAAAATGTGCACACAATGCAAATCACATGCGATTTTCTGACTTTCAAGTGTCGGAGTAAGCAAAAAGCGCTCCCGAAATAATAGAATCATCATTACATTTTGAAAAAGCTCTCCCTGACACGCCAAGCCAGCAGAAATTCTCTATTTAGACCCCTGTAAACAGGAATTGGAGGCGTAAACATGTTTTCGAGCACGCGATACACCAACATTTAAAAAAATGTAGAGAAAATTGGGAGCATTATTTTGGTGCTATTATGCAGACTCGCCGCAGAGATCGCATGTTTGGGCTGAAAACGGCTGAAAACAGAAATCTCACTTACAAAGCACAAACATGTTTTCATTTTCAGTACGATGACACGCCACAGCATGAGTGTGTCTACCCGCCGGTCCACAACCCGAACTCGATACTCATTCCCACCGGACGTCTGGCCAGATGTCAGTGCTCTCCGAACTGCGACATGGAACTGAATGAGCCAGAGTACAAGGTGATGGATTCGAAGGAGGACCGTGCGCGTTGGGATCCGGACTACGAGGAGAACAAGAAGGGAAAGAGCAACAAGAGACAACAGAAAAAGAAGAACAAGTAGTCCAATTGCAGTCATAATTCTTCGGTCTTATCCCGTTTGTACATTCTATTGTCATTCGCTCATTCTGTCATTTTGTCATTTTCTTATTGAACCATTACCCCCTTTTCCAGCAACTCCACCCTCAAAACGTGTTTACTTCTCATCAGATTTCTCTGATTTGGCTCGAAAAAAAAACCCTAATTTCCCCAGAGATTTTCCTTCCCCGCAATTTGGCTCTGTCGGCGGCAACACATAATTCACGATGATAGTTGCCCAGGAAACGGCTCATAACACTGGAAAGTGTGCTTCGGCATAATTGAGGCGAGCTCGACTCGTTTTGAGTTCTTTTTTGTTTTTTTTCGTTAGAGTGCGTTCAGATACTCAGCATTTCTTCGATCTTCATTATATGCTTCTCAGGACACAATTCTTATTGTCTTTCAAGCAGGGCTGGGCAAAAGAAAGACCGGTGCAAACTTACGAAGGCCTTGACTTAGCTTCAATATTCCGATCGGACCCAAACTCTGCAGACTTCTCGGTCTCGGATTAAAGTACTTTGGGTCTAAGTTTTAAGCCGATTGGAACGGTCCAAAACGTTGTGCAAAAATACTCCAATCTGAGTCCAAAAATCCTGCAAATTTTGGGTCCGATTGGAACATTATTACAAGGGGATGAAAAGCTAGTCTCAACAGGCCTTTGAGAATTCTGAACAGGCTCTTTTTCTAGCGCTGGTTTCAATCTAGTTATCTTTCAGAATAATGTGTGACATGACGTCTGCGGTTTGCTCGCTTCTTTTCGACGATGAGACCGAAGAAAGCAAGAAGCTCATCGGAGAAGCTGCCAAGGCGAGTGTGCACGCCATGGACAAGATAATTTTGGAGAAGGGGATGTGTGGCAACAAAAAGAAACTGACTAAACGCATGTTTTCGGCGGCGGTCAAGGCATCCGCGAAGGTATTGGCCAACGCACTGGAAGTGACTGCGGACGAAGAAAACTCACAGAAGGAGCTGGTGCAAGACACCAAATCCACGGAGGACTACAGTCCGGAACTGCAGAAGATGATAACGGAGATGGTCAGTTAGCACCCAAACTTTTCAGTTCATCGCACTCCATTTTCAGAACAAAACAGCCATCCAGCATAACTACGTGTATCCGCCAAAGCCGAAGCCCGGAGACATTCTCATTCCGACTGGCGGGCTCGCCAAATGCCAATGCTCCCCGGGCTGTGCCATGGAGTTGATGGAGCCCGCGTACCAAGTGATCGACGGCGAGAAGAAGTCCAGATGGGTTCCGGATAACGACGACGAGCTGAACACTATTCTGAACGACGTGTTCAAAATCAAAAACAAGGCGGCGGCTAGGGTCTACATCAAAGAACGTTGTCTGAAATGAAGAAGTCATATAATTGCGTGTTTTGATCTCAACATACTAACCTATCATCACACTTATTTTTACATAAAATTTGCAGAAATTTTGGTGCTTTTGCAAAAACAAACCTTTTCATGACCGGGCAATGACCGGCCCGTGTTTTTGAGGGGGGCTCAAATTTTCGGTCCTATCGAAATACTGTAAGGGATTCAAAAGTCCAGTCGAATCAATGCCCTTTTTTGTCGTCTGGTCGAAACTCAATTGGCACGTCATCCTATACGACATAAAAATGGGCGTTTTTACTTTCCCTGCCATAAAAAGTTGAACAGAACTTTTGAAATTCCTTCAACATTCTAATCGTTGCAATAAAACCAGCATTGTGATATTTTTTACCCAATCGGGTGTAACAAACACGTTTTCGAGTTCCGGATTTCAAATAAATGGGGTAAAACAGTAATTCATACTGTTCGTAATAAAACTCATATTTTCTTAATGAATTATTCTCTATTACATATTTTCTATCTTTTCGGGTAAGCCCAGTGAAAGACGTTTCCGAATATGTGTTCATCTGAGCATTGGATACGTGGTGTTCCTATTAGTTGTTTCAAATCTAGTGGATACCAGTAGAAGGTGTGCCGTTTTTAGCCCCCTGTTTTTCCGATGCCAGTGTCTGCCCCACCGGGTGGGGCCCACACTAACCTTGATCTCAGAGATCACATCCAACAAGAACCATAGCAGAACCACAGCTAGCAGGATCTCAAGAATATGGGAAAGCCTGGCTTTGTCCTGAACATTTGGTGGGAAGTGAATTGGTTTTCGGTAAGCAGTTGTTACTTGTACCTCAGAAAACCCGAGAACTACCAGTTATCCAAAATGTTTTTTACCTGGTCATCTTCTTTTTGCATGGAGCGTATTCCCAGCGCTTTCCCCCAGAAATTTCCGGAATTTGTCTGCCCATCGTGCTGCCATCCCGACAGACACACCCTGATCGTTTGTTCTTCTATTCACGTCAATGTGTGCGTCTTCACCGCTCTCTCCAACTTCTTATCTCACGTTTGTTTGCTTCCTTATCACTGATTTCAGAAAACTTTTGAGCAGAACATGGCCTCGATGATCATAAATTGGAACCAGAAATAGCACACCACAATACACACACTTATTATCAGGATCGTAAGCAGCTTTTTGATCTGCATCATTCTGCTTTCAATCCTACCTTACAAAATGCGAGCTATTCAAAGATTTTGGGTGTGCTTCACTGCTTGTGTAATCACTTTGTACTTGATGTGCGTGGTTGATGTAAGTACGGGTTATAAGATAAACAATAAATGAAAGATTACAGAATGATCAAATACGGTACCCATCTTACGAAAATGGAAAGCTGTTTGGGTTTCGAAACAATGATGTGATTCATACAAAAATGCACAATAATGAGTACTGCATCGCTTATGACTTTTTGGAATCGACCGAATCGTGAGTTCCAAAATGAACTTGAGAGAGAGGGATTCGAAAACTGATGTGAAGGTTCTCTAGGCCACTTCTAAAGTATTTAGACAATCGTTCTCAATTTCTAGGTTGCGATTGTAAATTTCCAGTTGTAAATTTCCAGTTTTCGAGAAGACGGCCTTGAGCCAATAACCTTGGCAACTCATGGAACATCCGATATGATCAAAGAAATGGAAAGCAAACCGTCAAACTGGGACGGTCCGATTTCAGTAGGCGTATTCCTTGATTTTCATTCCCGCGACGCATTGGAATACCTTTCCGATGTTCACCGATGCGACAAAGAGTTCAGGAAAAAGGTAGATAGCCTTTTTCCATGTTTCATCAATGAAAACGTTTTTTTTTCAGGTCTCCGTTCACTTTGCTTTCCGTTTATCAGCTTTTCAAAATGAATGCCCATCTATTCGGCTCAAGAAACGAAATATTACTTGTGAAGAATTTGAGAAGAAAAGTGAACAGTTAGAATTTGTATTCTGAAACGAAAATATCTTTTAGGATCCCAGATGCGAAAGACAATTACAGCACCTTTCCAACTCTACCCAAGTAATTTAATGAGAAATATTGCAAGACACGGCGCAAAATCTGAAATACACTTTTTGGCGGATGCAGATATGGAGTTCAGCGAAGGATTTGCCACAAGAGTGAAGAAAATTGCAAATGAGATGGTTGACGGGAGGAATAAGAATGTTTTGGTTGTTCGGTAAGCATCTAAAGAGATTTTCGAGAATTTAATCTGGTTTTCAGACGATTCGAGTACGAAAACATTACGGAACTACCAGAAAATCATGTAGAATTGAAGCAAATGATGGATAGAAAGCAGTGAGTGAAGAGTTCAAAAAACAAAGAAACATTTCAAATTTTCAGAATCTTCGAATTCCATCATAAATTCTTCTTCTCTGGTCATCAAATCAAGAACATTTCTTACTGGTTCAATGTGTCTGATAGTCATAAGGAAGTTGTCGCTTGGCAAATTCCATATGCGTAAGCACCAGCTAAATGTGTTTCAATTACAAGTATTGAACAACTTCAGTAGCAATCTATGGGAGGTTCAAGTAATTTTGCATCGAAATGACCTCTACAATGCTGATTATTTTCCTGCCAGAATCAAGGTCATGCAATCATTGGTATGTTTTCCTGTTTCCCCTCAGTAAACTCAGCAAAAAAGTTGATATTGCAGATCTACAGTCTATGCCGTGCAAATTACACATTTCACTTATTATCTCATGTGTTTGACCTTCATGAAGGCGTAAAATTGGCTGATACGGACTATTCCAAAGCTGTGATAGCTCATGGAAGAAAGTTTGGGCGCAGCAAGTAAGTAAAACTGGCTGGAAATCACTGAACTTTTTCAATTTCAGAGCCCACAACCGATTCAGAAAAGAAACAGATGAATTGTATCCGAAAACTGAAAAAAGATGCGAGAAATTCGTGATGTAGTTAATGGTTTATGTTAACTTGTTTTCATTTCTGTTTGATGGGTTTCAGTCATAATATCCGATATTTGCAAATGTTCTATTCCAAGTAACAAAGATCATGAAATTACTCTTATTCTTCTCTTTTTTCTCTTTTATCTCTTCTTCCAATCATTAGCTAATTTTCCAGTTTCTTCCTCTGCTTATCCTGTCTTCTTTAGGGCTTTGTCGTCGGGGTACGGTTTCCATTCAAGAAAGCACGTGGAACTGTCAAAATACAAGAGGATTTTCTTCAAAATGCAAGCCGAACAGAGATCCAAAAATCTTGTTACGAGATGCTCCAAACCATGTATGTTCTGTGAGGGTAACTTGAAACCCCTTGACCCAAATTACTGCACTCTTTTGTTAATACATCCGATCTCGGCACTCAAGAATTGCTGAGAAGGACACAACCTTTCAATTTCACGTGTCAGGCATTTTACAAACTTGGTTCCGTTCTACACAAGGAATGACAAACAAAAGGAGAAAGAGAGGGGGGCCCGTCGGGGGGTTAAGAGGGGCATACCTGAGAACGTAACACCCGCGCGCTGTGGGCCGATGAGAGACCGACTAATTATGCATACACATTGCGTTGCCCGAGGCAGATAACGTGGCGAGTATCGATCAGTATTCACGTGAGTCTTCCTGCTTTCTTTTTGTTTTTGGCTAATTTGTTTACACTCAGCTGGTATTATTTTCTTCAGAATTTTTGTCTGGAAACTGGCATGCTTAATCTAAAAATGAGTAAAATTTCCTATGTACATGCCTCAATTTCTACATTTTTGACTAGAAAATGACGAGTCATTCGATTTCAGGCAACGCGATGGCAGTGAACCAAGTGTTCAAGATACGTGCGTCAGATGGACGCATATTTGTCGCCGAAAACTGGCTCATCAACAAATCCGACTGCCTTTCCGTGTTCTTTGCATACATTCCGGACTCCATTCATCCTCTTCACATCGAAGTCCCCAGTCCCGTTCTCGAGAAGATCATCGAGTGGTGCGAACGTCATCGCCACGACGACCCGGACCAGGAATTTATCTTAATTCCCCAATGGGATGCTCATTTCTTGCGACTTAACAATGGAATCCTGTTCAATTTGATTGAAGCAGCTTTCCGAATGGGAATTCAAGCACTGTTGGATATTGCCGTTAGAGCAGTGGCGAATACGCTTGAACGGACTCAAAATGAAGTGCGAATAATGCTCAGAGTCGGTGGATTTGAAGAAGAAGCAATAGAGGCGGAGGAGGATGTAGATGTTGTTGCAGCAGCTTGATGAACTCTGTTTTCCATCATTTCTCTTCTTTTCACATTATCTTTTCATGTTTAATGACAGTTTTCCTCCATACATTCCTCTTGGCTAGCTAGCAATGATGATAAGAACAACAAAAATAAATCTGTTTTGTCTCTATTTCCCGTTTCTTTTTTCTTGTCTTGATTCACATTCAAAAACAAATGAATTTTCCCTCGCTTCAATCTTCAATCTCAATCCAAACTCACCACGAATCACGTCCAGCCGAGACACTCCCTGACAACCTCCATCCAATTTCCCCCGAGGGCCGACGGGGCTGTTGAGCAGACAGAGGGAGACTCGCGTTGCGGCTGCGGCGCGGTCGCTAGCGTGCCGGGACCCTCTCTTGTCGTGGCCCCGTATCGAGCGATGGAGGAGACTGAAGGGCCCGGACACTAGCCGCGTTCGCCAGTATTCTGTCGTCTGCCCATGAGAAAATGAGGCGAGTGGTCAAGTGAACGACGAAAGCAGGAACGTGAAAAGACGTAAGTTATTTTCTTTATAAAAAATTGTTTGCTAAAAGTACCAGTTCTACAAGGTTGCGGAGAGTTTTACGTGATTATCGGCCGTGGCCTAGAAAAAAGGGCTGCATCAAAAAAAAAAGACCGGGAAAAGAAGAGGGTAAAAAGAAAAAGGCTGATGCAGTAATAGATAGTCAATAAAAAGAGAGGACGGCGTCGTTTCCCTTTTTGGCCCGGGCAGCCCAGTATTGATTGTCTTTTATTGAAGGTGAATGCATTCAAGCACTTGATAAACTGAACTTAGTCCAGTTCATTGCCTTCTTCTCGTTTGCTGATAAAAAGTTGATTGATACGGTCAGAAAAAGATTGAGGTTCTGTACTTTTCCTTGATCATGTCAGTCTCCCTACCCAGTAAGGTTTTACCCAAATAGTTGGTTGTGTACGGCACTCCTCATATGCATATGTTTTTATCAAATAATTAAGTGTGATTTATGAAAATGTGGCTTAGTTTTCACCTCATTGATCAAATGAGTTATACGTTATTTTTCAGGTGATGCCTATGGAACAGCCGGTGCCCTTGTACCGTCTGCTTTCCTTGGATGGCCGTATGTTATACGCGGACCGTCAAACCTTGGCCATGATTGGACCGGTGGAGATGCTGTTCGAAAACGCTGGTCTCGATTACATCCCTCTGGACAGCATGATGCCGATCAAACTGGAATTGCCGGCGGAAGTGCTGCTGAAAGTCGTGGGATGGTGTGATCACCACAAGAATGAAGCGGAAATCGAAGATGACGATGATCACATTTCGGAATGGGATCTGGAGTTTTTGTCGGTTCGGTACAGCCTGCTATTCGACATCATTCGAGCTGCTCGTCACTTTGAAATCCCCGGATTGTTCGCTGTGTGCTGTCGGATTGTGTCTCGTGATCCGGGGATGATTATTCCTGCATTTTTGAACAACGATGATGATCCCGACCCAAGAAGACACCAACGAGTGGGGCTTAGTGAACCGGCAAGAGCCGCTTAGGCCCCTGTCCCTTCAGAATCATGCTGGCATGTAGATTGTATATTTTTTGTGTTCTCATCTTTTTCTCTTTTTTTGAGCCATTTCTTCATCCCGTAGAGTTTGATCAGTTGCCGGTCAATAAAGATGCTTCCCTTTTTCTGTCTGTAGGGTTTTCGTCAGTGGATGACAGTCAACAATCTGTCCCTATATTTGTTAATTTCAGAAAGTACAGATTAATTGAAAATGTGATTCAATTTCAGTAAAATCATGGCAAGAAAGCCGGCAAAAGTCCAAAGGCCTGTGGTTGTGCAAAGAGCAATGTACAAGCTGAAATCAGAAGATGGACAGGTTTTTGAGACCGATCGGATGGCGCTCAAGAAGTCATCGGTTTTCGAACAACATCTTCTCGCGAACGGCATCGACGACAGTAACTCCTCCGAAATGCAACCATTTCTCGTCCCTTACCCGGGAATTGTCATTGAAATGATCATCCGTTGGCTGAACCATCATCGAGACGACCGTCCGAGACAACGACGAACCCTCTACCGGGACATTTCTCACTGGGACAAGGAGTTTCTCAAAGTGGACACCGGTGTCCTTTTCAAAATGCTCAACGCTTCACACTACCTGAAAATTGAAGAGTTGACGCATCAAGGATGCGCCGCCGCGGCTGAATTGATACGTGGAAAGAGTACGGAGGAAATACGAAAGATCTACGGAATTAAATCGGAAGAGGAGCAGATGGAAGAGGATATTGCCAACGGATTGCCAGGACCCTCAGGATTGCAGAATGACTCTTGAATCTTATGACGCACCCACATTTCATGTGTGATTTACTTCTTTTGATAATCAAAAATGTCTGCATGCTTTAGAAATTCGAGAGGTCTCTATGTTTGAAGCGAATAAATCATTCTCATATGAAAGTTTCAATGCGATCGTCATAAACTTGTTTGGTTTGTTTGATGTAGTCTAACTTTGATAACAGTTGCGACAAAAGGTCGGCCAGCTATTGATTTTCTCGGCGAGACAGGGAAACAATCTGCTTACGACTTTATCAATAAGTCTGAGAGAAGAAAATGTTTTGTTTCTGAAAAAAAGTCGAAAAACTAAAGAACAATGTGTTTTGGAATGTTTTTAGAATAATATGAAGTGTAGTCACTCTTCGCAACTTGTAAATTGTTAATTGTTTGCAGATTTCCCTCTGATTTCTGTCTTCTGAATATGCTGTCTCTCAATAGAGGTTCTTCACGGACAGAAAGGGGAAAACCGGGACATGTCATCAATTACTGTCAACAATAACCTTGACCATGTCTGGGTAACATGGCATGTCACACCGCAAATTAGCAATAGATTAGATCTGACCAAAACGAAACTCAAAATTGTCCCAAGAACCTTTCGAAGCACGCTTATGATACAACATTGAGCGTATCAAATTATGTTTCCTTATCAAAAATGCACGTTTTGTCGCCTCGATCTCGGTGTCTTCATAGCCGACCAGTACAGGAGGACACTGCCGACCGAGCAGCCAAATCAGGCCATCTTTGAATTTACTGCGATAATTATCCATGACAGCTGGTGAGCGCTGAATACGAGAAAATGTGTTTTCTGTTGACCTTGCGGCTGTTGGTGTGTTATCGCGACTGGACATAGAGTATGGAAGAGAGGGGGAGGAGGCGGAGCCTGGAATGATGTGTGACCTGGCCGGCACATGTGCTGGTGGTTCGGCAGTCATTCGTCTCGGAGAATTGAGATGAACCGCTTTATTCTTGTGCTCCTTGGAGCACTCCTTTTGGTTCAGGCCTACCATGTCAAGAAACATCAGAAGTTGAGGACGTAAGTGTAAATATGGGATGGGATGAGTGGAGGCGATCAGAATTTGAATAGTGTGACCTTATAACCTGTTTTAAATGGAGTATCTGCAAGAAAACTACCGGGAATTCTTGTTTCATCATTCCCAAATTATTCACAAAAGTTTAATAAACCCGATAATACAAAGTCTAATAAGTTTTTTCAACTTTACCATTTCATTTGGTAATGTTGGCCGATATCTCATAAAAAGCTCAGAAATCGCGCTTATTGACCCCATTCTTCTTGAAATCAGGCCACCTCAGGTCACAAGACTTGCTTTCCCTCACTCCATCCAAAAATCCGAACAACAAAAAGCAAGTGACCCCCAACCCCCCGAGGCGCTCCCTCTCGGTCCCTGGCGTCAGTTGTCGACCTCCTCATTTTGCAGGATCGCTCTGAAGAAGCAGCCGACTCTTCGCGAAACTTTGCTCAAAGCCGGAACCTTCGAGTCGTTTGCCAAGCATCGACACAACTTCCAGCGCAAGTACCTCAAAGTCAATGGATACACTGGCATGGAAAAGTATGACAAGATGGGACACGCCAAGCCCTTGGGAGAGATTGATGAACTCTTGAGAAATTACATGGATGTAAGAGCGTTTTTCTCAGAGTTCTAATAATGAGTCAATTGATTTTAGGCTCAATACTTTGGAACCATCTCTATCGGAACTCCAGGACAAAACTTCACCGTCATTTTTGATACCGGCTCCTCCAACCTTTGGATTCCATCGAAGAAGTGTCCATTCTACGACATTGCATGCAGTAAGTATTTCATCACTGATAGCGTTCCCATCGTCACTGATAACATGCCTGTTTTTGACAGGTTGATGATGGTCACTATACAAACAAACTTTATGTACATATTTTCAGTGCTCCACCACCGCTATGACTCTAAAGAGTCGTCCACCTACAAGGCCGATGGAAGAAAGATGGCCATCCAGTACGGAACTGGATCCATGAAGGGATTTATTTCCAAGGACAGCGTGTGTCTTGCCGGAGTCTGTGCTGAGGACCAGCCATTTGCCGAGGCTACCAGCGAGCCGGGAATCACCTTTGTCGCCGCTAAATTTGACGGAATCCTCGGAATGGCCTACCCGGAAATCGCCGTTCTTGGGGTCACCCCTGTCTTCAACACGCTTTTCGATCAGAAGAAGGTCCCATCCAACGTCTTCTCCTTCTGGCTCAACCGCAATCCGGACTCGGATCTTGGTGGAGAGATCACTTTCGGTGGAATCGACGCCAGAAGATACGTAGAGCCAATCACCTACGCTCCAGTAACCCGTAAGGGATATTGGCAGTTCAAGATGGACAAGGTCGTCGGATCGGATATCCTTGGATGCACCTCTGGCTGCCAGGCTATCGCTGACACCGGAACTTCGCTCATCGCTGGACCAAAGGCCCAGATTGAGGCTATTCAGAACTTCATTGGAGCCGAACCGCTTATCAAGGGAGAGTACATGATCAGCTGCGACAAGGTGCCAACCCTTCCGCCAGTCTCATTTGTGATCGGAGGACAAGAGTTCAGCCTTAAGGGAGAGGACTATGTGCTCAAGGTCTCGCAAGGTGGAAAGACCATTTGCTTGTCTGGATTCATGGGAATCGACCTTCCGGAACGAGTTGGAGAGCTCTGGATCTTGGGAGATGTCTTCATCGGAAGGTACGCCGCTCGTATTTTATATATTTAAACACGATTTTCTTTTTCAGATACTACACCGTCTTCGATTTCGAGCAGAACCGTGTCGGATTCGCGCAAGCCAAGACCGCCGAGGGACTTCCAGTAGAGCCAGCTCCACGTCCGTATCGCCCGAGATACACCAGCGATGACGATGAGGATGACGAGTCCAGCGAGGAGAACTAAGCTAATTATTTGTATTATTTGTGTTTTAATTGTGTAATAAATCGCATTTTCAAGTTTATGAGGGTTTCCAACAAAGTCTGACAATCTAAGGTAACTATTTTTCATAACCGGTACACATCTACGCCAAAGATGGTCGGAACAAAATGTCTCCACTGTTTCCAGCTCCGCCAGAATCCGTAAGCCAGGAGTAGAACTTTTGGGACTCGGTGTGCTTATCAGAACCCTACAATATCTCATCATGCCTCTCACACCAAATCATTGTACAAACCATTGGTTTTCCCGGAGGAGATGTACTTCTCGGATTTTCTCCACCAGGATTTTCCGGATTTTGGCCATTTCTAGGGTTTTGCGAAGAATTTGGATCGTGATTTTTGTCTGGAGTTTCATCCAGTGGTTTTTTGTCCTCCGGGTCTTCATTTTTATCCTCATCATCATCGTCTTTGTCGAGCGGACTTGGTTTTGGAGGACACATTGTGTACAGACTGCCAAAACAACCAGTTCCAGCCCATTTTTGACAAGTCTAAACCATTTTTGTTTCTAATAAACGTTTTGATAAGATAAAGAATTACATTCAAATGTCCAAACGTGTGGCAGACAAAAAGCGCTGGTCCGAAAAGGACGACCATGGCTGTTGTGACGATAAATAAGTACAGTTTCTGTATAGAGCTCATATGTTTACGGCATGAAAATGTTTGTATTACCTGATGCTCCGCCGAGAACATGACCATAAGCCAGATGCTGAAGAGGTATTGCGAAATGAGAACTAGTGATTTCACAGATCTTCGAGCCCAGTAACACTGATAAATATCTTGAGAAGGAGTCTGTCGGTCACATGCAATACAAGCTAATTGGGCTTTTAGACCGGTTAGTGTCAGAATTATCCAGACGGGAATCACGTAGCCCCATAGCATGTCGACTGTGGTCACCGCGAAGCAACTAAAATTTGAGTTGGATTCAAATTTGGTTTCTTTTGTGTACATGGTTGTTATGCTGAATGCACAATTGCCAGAAGCTTCTCAGTTGTTTTAAATCTCATGAGAAAATCAATTTTGGATCGCCTACGCCAACTTTTCGGTTTTTCAGTCCAGTTTCATATAAAACCTCACTGTAGATAAGCAGTTCCGTAATACTCTTTCTCGGGGAAATACGTGGCTACTGTTGGTGCGGCCGCCAACAGAATCGGTAAAATATAATAACAAATCCAGGGAATGCTTCCGTTCTTATCAGACTTTCCGTGCACCATTCTGAATTTCCTTTCACACTCGGTTCGTAAAGACGTACTTACGAAGATGCAAAAAGAGACTCCGCGAAAAAGATAGAAGCCGTCAAGCACATGAAAAAATGATTGAAAATTGCGATGAACTTACAGATTTTCTGGAAAAATTGGGAATTCCGAAAATACAAAAGAGTAACTTACGGTCTTATGGTCAAAAACAAAATTTAGAATACACATGCAAATTGCAAGCAAAATAATGGACAACTCTTCGAATAAATGAACGTATCTTTGATGTCCTTTGTTTCTAAACCACATTTTCATCGTTCGCTTTGATAAATGGCTTCCTTTTAAGCTTACTTGTGACAAATGTTAACCAGAATTGTAATCAAACACCATGCTATTATCCAGCCCCCACAAAAGTACATGAGATACTAAAAATGAATGAATGACTTTAGATATTCTCTATTACAGTTCCACATACTTTTGCAATGTCATTTTGACTATCGGACAGAATTTCGTCATAACACCTCTGGAAAATGTAAGGACTTTCTGTTGTAGTGGTATTTAAGTCATCTGTTGTTGTAATATTCAGGTCTTCAGTTGTTGTAGTGATAGTTGTGGTGGTGATAGTTGTGGTAGAAGTAGAAGTAGGAGTAGAAGTAGAAGTAGAAGTAGAAGTAGAAGTAGTGGTAGTATTGTCGTCGGACATTTTTCCGAGTGAAATGAAACAATGGTAGTTGCGTAGGATGGTTGGTCTTTCAGAATTGCGCGTTTCCAAGGCGATCGACATGAATATTACATGATTTTTTTGTTGTTGTCCACCATGTGATCGTTTTGGTTTTCGGAGCATGGAACAAAGTATGCGGGCTCGAAGATCTGAAAAGTTTTGGTGGATCTCAACAAACGTTGAAAAATGCAAAATTTATTCGGAAAGATCATAATGAAAAGACAGATGAGAGGAAAGTGTGTGTGTGTATATATAGTGAAAATCCTAATTTCCAATTGTTTCGTCACAGAGAAAACAGTACGTTTTGTTATCTTATTCGTGTTTGAATTCAATTCAAATAATATTAAAATACGCGAATCCACAATTTAAATATGGCAACAGATGTGAGATTTTTCCAGCGAAATTGAGGGAAAAGACATCCAAAACGTTTGGCAGGGGGCATTGAGAAAAACAAATTAGAAAAAAGTGAGTTGAGGGAGGAAAGAGAATAGAGTTGGCGGATAATACAATAAATTGAAACACTTATTTTGAAAAGACATGATGCCATTTTGAAAGAAACCACAGAGGAAAGGAGAAAGGGTAATTTTTGATGCATTAAAAAGTGGTCCAACCCAAAATACTTCCTATTCAGAATGTGGAATATTGCGGTGAGAAAAGGAAACGTAGGGTAAAATGCAAATGAGACAACCGTGTCAATAAGAGTCTGATAGTGGGCGGATAATAATCCTATAACTGAGGGTTGAGGGGTAAAGCTCGGATGACATTGGGATCGATAAAGTTTTGAGCAACTTTGGTATAGTTTCAATTATTTGGCACTCTGCTGAAACCGGGCCTTTTGAGGGGTACTTTTCTTCTTGCCCCTTTTTTCTTGGGGGGGTAAGTGAAATAATATGGGTCAACTACTTTTTTTCACCAAAAAAGCGGAAAAAAACCCATCCAAGTGCCACTGGGCCTGACGGTAGAACAATGGTAGCACATGTAAATACTTGTCAAGTGGAAAGTGAGAATTTCAAAGGGTTGCAACTATCGGAGGGTTTGGGATCACACATCGTGCATCTTGCCCTCCTTGTTGTCACAGTAGTTGTTCCATAACGTTTTCGCTAATTCGTAACATGGAAGCTCTCCGGCGTGAGTGGCCACCATCCTGAGAAGGAAGACTCCATCCTGAAACTTTCATTTTGTCAAATGTTCTACGGGAATTAATTATTGCGTAGCTTCGATTTTGTGACCGGCAATCAGTCAATCCACAATAATTTTACTATGTCTTTTTCTATGAATGTACAATGTATTGATTAGAACAGTACACATAACTTGGTTTAAAGTAATGTTCCGAGAATCTCTAACAAAAAACTGGCTTTTCAAGCTTATCATAGAAAAATTCCATTTGCAAATCAAAGCTATCTCACCTGTCTCAAAAAGTGGAACACAAATCGTCGAAGCGATTGTGAGTCGACCATCTTGTATCCCTCGATTCCGGTCAGATACTTTCCAACAAAGTTGAGTTGCCTATAAAATAACAAGCACATTATCAGAAAACTCAATGTTCCGCATGCAATGGGGTCATCCAATGAGCTCCAGAGCTAATTTTGACAAATGATGATGTCAATCCCAGTTAGTTTTGAATGGCTTTGTTTGCTTTTCATCCCCCAATCACCAAAAACCAACCTGCTCGGGACGACGGAGATGTAGATCCAGTAGAAAAGCGAGCAGACGGTAGCTCCGGCGAGAAGGAAATACCAGAACCAGAGGAACAGGAAGATCTTCTCGTTGAACATGTTGATCATCAAAACGCATTGAACCGTATGTCGGTGCACATTTCCCAGCACTTTGACCTCGAAGTCGCAGAGTGTCACTCGCGGGAAATGGCCGGATTCCTCCCATTCGCGGCCGTTCATCAGATCGTTGAGAACTTGTAAACCGTACCATTTGCTACGGTTTCCGAGGAACGTATTCAGGAGAAAGATTTGACCGACAATGTTGACCGTGTACAGAATTTTGACGGAAATGTAGAGGAAGGTGACGGCGGCGCCGGAGGACCGTGTACAGATGATCAAGTTGAGCAACTTTAGACGATTTCCGGACATCTGAATATCGTTTGTTTGAACTCTTCAGGTTAAATTTGAGTATAATCAGTTTTTCCGAAAATTCAGAAACCACAGAGTTCCCGTGAATTCATGCTGCATTTGTAAGAATACGTTTCCTGCTTGAAGTTGTTCAGATGCACTCACCACTTGATGTTTGACGTGAAGCGCCTCCTCGACATTAGTGGCAATAGTTTGTAACGCCCTGTTTCTTGACTCCAAGTCCAGCAACCTTGAATCACACGCCATTTGAACTAATGACTGTACGTGAATTCCTGAAACATTAAAAATGTTGATTGTTCTAGTCATTTATTCATTCTTTTATTTTATCCCTCTAAACTTTCCTGCTCTTGATGCTTTACACGAAAAACAACAACAAGTAGCTAAAATATAGGAACGTAGGCAAAATTTATGTATCTTTTGAGGTCCCTTGAGGTAAGGGAAACGAAAAAAAGGAGCGACGGGGGGTGCCCAGCCTAACGCATAAATTTTTGTTGTTCTTCACGCCGTTCTTGATGCTTCTCGCATTTTCTCATTTTTTTTTTGCCGCTAGAAAACAACGAAATCCCAACATTTTCTTTCTGCTTGTTGTCAGAAACTTGGTTTGACAAATTACCTGACTGCCAGCTGAGTAGCCTCCATACAATAGTCGGCACATAGAAAAGAAGAGCCTCGAGAGCTAACACAAACGGAACCCATTGATAATACCTGAAAAAACGCAATTATTTCGGTAGAATTCATGGAAAACGCGAACCCGATTTGGCGATTTTCACGTTCTGCATAGTTATGTGGAATGTAGTCGTGTAACGGTAGAAAGTAGGTGTTTTGAACCCAACAATAGTTTTCTGTGTACTGTTCCATGGGTTCGGTAAACGTGGCAGGCACCCAACATTGGATCGGAAAGCCTGAAAAGATTGGGGCTTAAGGGGAGGAGATTTTGACTGTTTTCTATTCAAAGTGTCTAGAACTTTAGTTGAAAAATGAAAATGACTCACCGACATACTGTTTGGCTGACACCAGAATCGCGAATACTGAAAAAAAGACATTTTGGCTCAGGTTTCGTTTTTATTCTTCAGATCCCTTCAACTTTCAATGAATTACTCAGAAATCAGAGATCTTCGATTATCCCTCCATGTGCTTCAAATTTGTCAATGAATAGCACATGTTGAATTGGAAACATCTTTGTAACGCCCTAACTCATTTTTCTATTTTGCAATTGGTTTCGTTTAGTTTGTCCTAGTTTACAATGCGATCAAGAACCGTGGTTAATGGGATCTAATTCACCGGATGAAGATTTATTTGTTTCTCTTCTTTTTCAGATTGAGATTGAGATTAGTATCAAACGTCTGCGAGCACCTGTTAGTGGTGACAAAACGAGTTTTGTTTTGATCTATATTTGCAAAAATATGATCTACTTCCAGAAACTGGCTGATTTACATTACTTGCCATGGGTTTCTCGCAGTTTTTAATCTCTGGTTTTAGAGTGTTCATCAACTGACCTGTGATAATGGCAGTTGTGTAGTAATAATTGAGTTTGTCAATGATGTCATCGTCCACGTGAAACTGTATTGACTTGACAGCACTCGCGAAATAATATAATAGCATACTCATCTAAGTCATGTCGTGTTGGCGCCCGTAGCGCCTTTTCCCGATCTGAAAAAACAGAGAAATTTCACAAAAAAAATTGGAAACGAAGCGGGAGAAGAATTAGTAGTGCCACGACGGAGACGAATGAAAATGAATGAAAACAGGAGGGACGGGGGGAAAAGAGGAGAGGGCGCGAAAAATAGTGGAAGGAGGAAAGAAGAAGAAGGAGAAGGAGAAGGAATGGAAGGAACGACGAGCACGTCTGTAGATGGCAGGCAGGTCGTACTAATTATGCATTAGAGGCGAGCGAATGGGCGCGAGAGCCTTGATGAAAAAAACGGGTGAGGGGGAGATAATGGTCAAGGAGCATCGGCGGGAAAGAGGCGCAATGTTTTCGAAGGTCATAAAGTATGTACAGTTTCAGTAATGCCTGAGGACCTTGAACAATTTCCTGCACAAAATTATTAGAAGCAAAATATTATCTCATGTTTTTCTCCCTCTCTCTTTCTCTCTCTCTCTCTCACTCTCTCTCTCAATTCCAAAAGCCTATCCAACTTTTTATGTGAATTCCTAAAGCTAATTATCCTGCTATTCAAGTGATCATTCCACCCCTTCTCTCAGAAGAAGAAGAAGAAGGGGGGGGGGGGTGGATGAGATTTTGCACAGATCAGAATAAGAATAGCGGTATTTTGAGCTGATAAAATGGGAGAACCGGGAGTAGGATGTACTCGGAGAATAAGGAACTGGCCTAAATGATCTATCTTTCTCTCTTTTCAAGAATTCGAATCTAATTAGGCGGCTATTGAAAGACGTGCAAGCGGTTTGCTTTCACTAACTCTTCAGAGAGAGAGAGAGAAAGGGAGTGAGCAAAAGTTCAGGTAAACTTTGGACTCGCATGGTGGCTTCAAAAGAAGAAGTCTAATAACGGAATGTGGTTTGGGGCGTGCGGCTGCCAAAAAGGAGAGTAAAATAAAAGTGGGATGCTCCGTGAAAACAGAGAAATAGAGTAGGAGCGTTTTCTTTTCTCCTTTCTCTTATACTCTCTCTCCCTCTCTCCCTTTCGTTCCCCTCTCTTCTTCAGAAGGCCGGCTGGAGCTCTCCTCCTCTCATTCTTTTCGTCTTTTCTTCCACGAATTTTGATGGAAGCCCCCAGAGCAGGCAGCCGGAGGAGAGCGCGCGCGGGAAAAAAAGAAGAAGAAGAAAAAGAAGCAGACGCACAATACATACCCCCGAAAACTACACGGAGCACACACACACACATACACACAAGAAAGAAGAAGAAGAAGGAGAAGAAGAAGAAGAAGAAGAAGAAGCATCACATTGGCACACTATTTTTCCTTCCTTTTCTCTCATTTTCTTTCCTTCCGAATTTCGTTTCGCTTCTCCTTCTCCTTCTCCCTCTCCCTCTCCATCTCTTCTTTTGAAGAGGGACCCGTTTTCTCTTTTGCAGAGAATGACGTGATGTCTTCTTTTTCTGCTCCTGCACACAAAGACAGCTGAGAAAGCGGAAAATTGGAAAAATTCAGTTTTGGTCATTAAATGAGGCGTGCGAGGAGATAGAGAGCAAAACATTTTTTGAGTGAATATCTAATATAAGAAATATTTTCTCTTTTTTTTCCTTTCTCTCGTCTACGAGACGTTTTTCTTATATCTCATCTTATTTTTCATTCATTCCATCGGGAGTTTGTGGAAAGATACTTGCTTCTTTTTTCGGCTCAACTTTGCTCTCCGCTCAAAGGTGTTGCAAGTGGGACCAGATGATACTTTTTCTAATCCAACCCATATTCCCCTAAAAGTCAAAAAAATGTAAAACCTTTCAAAAAAAGGAGAAAAAAACGACTTGAAAGTTGCCCAATAAGGAAAAAGAGGTTAGCGGGTTTTTATTCTTCTAAACGACTGACAATGGCAACAGGAAAAAGGGAAAAAGGAAAAGGAAGTGACAATATTAAAGGAAGCAAGCAACACAAAAAAGGAGTTTGAAGTGAATGAATGAAGCACACGCATATACTCACAGACACACAAAAGTTTTTGGTTTGGATTGAAGTCCCCCTCCTTTCTTCCTCAAAATGTGGGACCAGTGGACCTGGTGGTGGAATCTAAAGTGTCGTGTTGCGGAGTTTTGCATACTCTTCTCCTATCTCTCACTCTTTGCTCCTTTCTTTCAAATGTTAACTTTGCTGAAAAGTGTTGAGGATAGACGGAAAACTTGAAAAGAGTCGGAATAGATGTGAGAAGAGATCTGGGACGGAATAAACCATTTCAGCAATCTATATTCAGAAAGATATGTCTACCCCCAGCGCTACTTGAAACAACGGACAATGGATATCAAGTTCTGGGCTTCATTCCATCTCAATTCAGTCATTCATTCATTCACTCATTCATCCTAACCCCTAACCTACCTCCCCCTCTCACAAAAAGTTATTATGGCTCCTAGCTCCAGCAATAGCTCTCATCATCATCTCACAAGGGACAGAAAAGGAGTAGGAGCGCCAATAAGAAACCAATAACTAACTAATAATGTGGTCGTGACGCGCCAAACAAATTTGGGCCCCCAGAAGACGATTTCGCTCATTCTTTTATGCTTCCTTTGGTGATGAAGAAGGAGAGCTCATGCTGATATGTTATTCAATTTCAATGAATTTTCAAATAATGTCACTCTGGTCCTTCTTTCTCTCCTTTTTTCTTCCGCTTTTCTTTTCCTTTCCTATTTTATGGGAGACACTTCGAATTTCGAATTGGAGTACCATGAGGGAAATGTCATAGATTTTGAAAAATACTTGAACATTACACCTCTAGACAGATTATTCGACGAGAATTTGGAGAGCCTGGCATTCATTCCGGCAAGGTTATACGCGATTTCAGAAGGGTTGCCATTACATAACACTATACTAATTCTCAAAAATGTCTACAAACGGAAGAACAGGCAGCCAAAGGGGGCTTTAGACTGGAAAAAAATGAAGGTCTGATGATTACGGTGAATGTTAGGGGATAACAGAACTGGTGGGTTTAGGTCATTGCCACTACTTTCATCGAAAGTCACATAGTTTGAGAACTCGAATTCGGACAGTGCAGAGAGCAATAATACACAAACCAAAAACACCGACGAGCACATACTTCTCTGAAATCAGATTAAAGGTCGATGATTAGATACAACTTTTAGGAAATTGAAACCGGAAACTAGGTTTTCGGAGAATTTTTTCATTTGAAAGTTGGGGAGCACCGCTTCACACGAACACGATCGATCAGGTAGAAGATTTTGAAAACGTAAAGTTGGTTCCCCACCGACCAACCTCAAAATAACAGGTTCAGTCCACTAAATTCATGGAACTTTGTCTAGGCCGAAAAATCTGACTCCCAGAAGAAAACGGCAAAATAAGAGGGGCCTACTCTACTCAATCATTCAAGAAATGAAGCGAGCGTGAAATGAAAATGAAATGAGATGAAAAAAGAGAAAAAGAGACCGCTTAGCGTCTCTCTCTCTCTCTCTCTTTCTCTATTTTCCTTCATTAACTGAATCAAAAAACGAATAACGAACACTATACCTCCCACAACTTACTAAAAAAGAGGGGAGGGTGGCTATTTGGTGTTTGTTTGTACATTAGTTAAGAAGCAAGCTCATTAGAAAACTATAAAGTTGTGCATAATTTTGTAGGTAAGAAGTGGCAGTGGTACAAGACACTAGTCAAAATGACTATAATATAAGCGTCACGGGAAGGAATGTGAAAGCGCCGGAGCGGGTTTGATAGGTGTTTTAGTGGCCGAGGAGGCGTTTTTCCCGAGCACATAGTAGTGAACGACGGAATAGTGCCTCGGCGCTCACCCATTTGCCCCACAAAATGGTTGGTTTTGTTGTACTAGTGCTGAAAGTGATGTGATGAACTCGAAGGAGCGCTTCGCAAACCGGAGGACCCAAAACACTTTAGAAAATGAGCTCCCGGGTTTGGTTCATTGTTTTGTTTACGTGATTTTTTTTTGCTGCAGTTAAGTGACGATTCAGGCTGGAACTTGAAAGATCCGGCCCGGTTGTCAGGTATTCAAACGTTTTAAAATATGTAATGAGGAAGAGTTGAATATGCAGTTAATATCCCGGGAAAACTCAGGAAAAAACAGTATTTGAAGGATGTCTATCAAAATATTAGTGGAACCTTGCGACCTCATCTATCTCCCTTCCTCCTTTCTCTTCCGCTTCTCATTGTAATTTGATTTCTCACTTTTTGTTCTTCTCTCCCACCGTCAGTAGATGCTAGATCTCAACGACGAGCGAAGATTAGAAAACAGAGCGACAAGGTAACAGAAAAGACGTCAGCGGTGTACTTTTACAACCAGGGACCACAAGAAACGGCGGAGAGAGGAAGAAAGAAAGAAGGAGGGAAAAGGTGTCATGTCTTTTCTCGTTTCGTTCAAGTTGTGGGAAGATAAACTTTTGCAGAGAAGAATTCTACATGCAATCGTTTCAAGTACAGAAGTACAACGCTGGCTAGAAAAACTACACAAACATTGGTAGTAATATTGTAAAATTCACTGCATACTTTTGAACTTGAAGTTTCTGAAAATGGATGTAAGTTTAACACGGGTACAACTCAAAACTACCACAAATCTGGTAGAAATCTCTACAGAGCACTAAAAGTGGGAGGTTTGGAGGTCCTTGAAAAACAATTCATCATACTCCGCGCTCTTTCTTTTTCTATAGAAATTCAAAATGTAGGTCGCCTACATATTTGGGGATCCTTTGGGAATTTCCGAGTCCGTGTCGTCTTAAGCTTAGAAGAAAAAAGGAAGAAAAAAACAAAATTGTTCAACTTTTCTCGCTCAAAAGTGAAGTGACGTGCCGTACACTTGTCATACACTTTTCGCGCATTTTTCATTTTTCCGTCTTCCTCTCCCTTTCCGTATTTCTTTTGGTTCCGATGATTTTCAAAAAAGGGACTCGGCTATGTGTCCGTCAAAAGCGAAAAAGTGCAAATTCCAGTGAAGACTAACCCAATTACCAGCCTAATTCTGTATCCTTAGTTCAGAAC